ATAAGGCTAGGATGAAGCCGTGGATCTCATTAGCATCTACCGAACTGATGGATGCTCGAAAACTCATCCCAACTGGCAGTGAACATGATGAAGAACGAAGTCAGCTTCGGCCCAGGCTGATTAAAAGCCAACGCAACGACCGCGAACAGTGGTGGGTAGCGAAAGCAAGGGAGATGGAAAAGGCAGCGGCGATAGGCAACAGTAGGCAACTCTTTAGACTCATCAAGGTAACTGGTATTAGGAACCCAGGTGTGAGTGACACGATTTCGGAAAAGGATGGTCTTATTATCCATTCTCAATCGAGGAGACTGGACCGATGTGCAGAACACTTTGGGGATCCGTTCAACTGGCCTCGAGCCACTCTTCGGTTACCCACGATCTCCAGTCATGCTGAATGGCAAATCGACGTAAGTCCCCCTAGTCTTTATGAAGTTGAGAAAGCTATAGGAAGTCTGAAGCGAGGGCGAGATGCAGGTCCTGATAGACTGACCCCTGAGATATTTAAGGATGGTGGTCCAGTTTTAGCAGCTAGGCCGACTGAGAGTTTAGGTAGAATATGGGAACTGGAGGCAATCCCATCTGACTGGTCTCAGTCCCTGATTGTCCCAATCTATAAGAAAGGACAGAAGTCTTCTTGTGACAATCACACGCGAATAAGTCTAACTAATATAGTTTCTAAATTGTTAGCCTCCATTATACTTAGTCGCCTTACTAGTGCTCGTGAAGAGCAGACGCGAGAAAACCAGTCTGGTTTTCGACCTGGACGTGGTTGTATAGACCACATCTTCATACTACATGTCCTGGAACACAAACACACATTTAGGCGTCCTACAATAGTTGTCTTCCTGGACCTTAAAGGCAGCATTTAACTCTGTGGATCGTGAGGTGTACCAGAGAAGTACATTAACCTCATACAAGCTCTCTACTCGAACACCAATGGTCGAGTGAGAGCTTATGGCGAACTGTCACCGGAATTCTTCACTTCAAGTGGTGTCCATCAGGGATGTCCACTCTTTCCATTCTTGTTTAATTTAATCATAGACATGCTCTTAGAAATATCCTTATCGTCGACTAAATTTTCAGGAGTTGAACTATTAACAGGTAGCTCGCTTATCGACTTAGAACATGCCGACGACGTAGTCATATTTGGTGAAGACGCTGACAAAATGCAGAGTCTTCTTGTAGCGAAGCAGAACACAGGTGAGGAGAACCGAATTGTATTCATCTCAAATGACAGAATAATTTGGCAAAATATCGAACTGGACTGTTCCTGTCTGTTGCACATTCTGACCACCCTAATCAACAATACAAGCATGTTCTGGGTGCGGTTTTCCCCCTCGAATTGCAAAATGTTGCTTCAAGACTAGGTTGTGTCGGCACCTGAACTAGTGATAGGGAGTGAAGTAGTTGGGAGTGTTGACCACTTCACTGATCTTGATAGTCTCATCAATGAGGATGGCTTGGTTACTGACAAAATCTCTACACGGATACAGAAGGCTTGATTGGCTTTTGCCAACCTGCGTCACCTCTGCCGCAGACGTGATATCCGTTTGCTAACCAAAGGACGAGTGTACTGTGCAGTAGTTCGCTACGGCTTACTATACGGAAACATGACCGTTAAGGGTAGAGGAATTTCTCAGGCTACTAGTCTTCGATCATCGGTGTCTCCGAAGCATTGCTCGTGTATACTGGGACAGCCGTATAAGCAATGCTGTCCTTAGGAAACAAGTTCTAGTTAGGGACGGCAAATCAATAGATGAAGTAGTGAAACTTCATCAGTTGAGGTGGTTGGGACATGTGTTACGTGTGCCTAACCACCGACTGCCGTGACGAGCTATGTTTTGTGGTGTAGGAGTAGGCTGGAAGAAATCTAGGGGCGGCCAGACCAAAACATGGCAGAAATCCATGAAGTCACTGACTAGTGGACTGAGTCATGTTGGTTGATGTAGGCTATCTGGTTGGGGTCCGCGAGACGATAGTCACTAATGATTAGATACCTTAAATGACATGACTCAAAACTGTTTGCAATGGCGCAGATGCACACACTCTTTGTGTTCTATGAAATTCCAACATTCTGAATTCCTCATAATCTGCATCTTTCTCCTTCTAAACTTATCTCACTGAATTATACTTCTCGGATCATATCTTCGCTCCCTAATCTTCTCCATTACTGCCAATACTTCTACTATCGCTATCACTCTTGGATTTGAACTGACAGTTGAGTCTTTGTGCTGATGGGGCATGGCAAACTGAACTGATGTACTTTGTACGAAGTTTTGAGTTGTATCTGTCTGTCTGTCTGTGCTTTACATAGTGTTGTTTTTTGAATTGAGTTACCCTTTATCTCATAAAGAATAAAAGCATCATTACTCAATTCGATATATTTACATTTCACTGAACTTTATGGCTTTTTGTAAATATCATCGTCATCACCAAAATAATACAGAATTATTATACAATAATACAATAATATATCGATAGCATATTGGAAATAAATCACTATGGTCACATGTATATAACATTTATAGATATGTTTATATTATACAGGCGAACAAAATATAGTCAAGCTGTTCCTTATGAATATGAATATGAATAATAGTGAATATTTCTGTTAGCTTCTGTTTGTTTACAATTCTAATTCAACTTCACATAGTTTTTCATAATTTGGAGGATATGTATATTTCAGTTTAGTCAATAGACTACTATTCTTATGCAAAGTTGTAATAAGGTGTTTGGGTATGATTGAATTTTCTTTAGCCCAAGCATCTAAGGATTCCTTGTGTATAGCTTTAACAACTTGAACAGAACTGGCTTCATATCTGAAATAGAAATTTTTGAAATAAGGATAACAATAAAATAACGACGCAGTCAAACATATCAACGACAGTTGACATTGTCGTGTTGTTTCGTTCTCTGAGTTTAATGTTTTGGTTATGTAGCTTTCTTTCTTGCGGGAATATTGTGCCACCGATGACCAGTTTGTTGAAGGCACATAGGTTTGCAAATCTCTCACCGTTTTCGTTTCTTTCTCCCAGTCCATGTCGTCCCATGATGTCTTCATACCCAGTGTTGTCCATTCCAACCTTGGCATTCAGGTCTCCCATAAGAATCGTCAAATCCTTTGGTGAACATTTATCGACGACTGACTGCAGCCTTTCGTAGAATTGATCTTTAACGTCGTCATTGTAGTCATTGGTAGGTGCATAACATTGGATGACGTTCATTGTAATGTCCTGTTTCTTTGTTTTGAAGGATGCTTTAATGATCCTCGGCCCATGAGATTCCCATCCTATCAGTGCCTTTTGTGCATGTTTGGACAGCATCAGTGCAACTCCTTGTGTATGTGAAGCGTTTTCCTCTTCATGACCAGAGTATAACAGCAGTTCCCCTGAAGCAAGTCTCAGTTGTCCTACCTGTGTCCAATGTGTTTCACTGATCCCGAGCACCTCGAGGTTGTATCTTTTCATTTCTGCCGCAACTTGAAATAGTCTTCCAGTCTCCCACAATGTACGAACGTTCCATGTACCTAAAAGAATGGTTGCTCTGGTTGTCAGAAGAGGCATCGGCCCCGTGTCTTCCGAGGGGACTCGGCTTTCATCACGAGACGTCATAATTCTTCTTCCAACTCCCAGGGCAGAGTTAAAATGGTTTGAATTATTTTTTCTGGTTAGCGTTTTTTTGGCAAGTTAGATTTCAACGGAATGGGGCCGCCAACCCCATGTCCAACCCTCCTCCTTTATCCGGGCTTGGGACCGGCAGTAGCCCCTAAGGTTCTACTGGCGGAGTTAGTTTAAACATATGCTCACTACAAAATAAATATAGTTTTTGATTGTATGAGGTGGTCAGAACGGTAGAAATTCCCTAAATTGAACTTTGAGAACGTTATCAATCGATTTATAAACTTTTAAAACAATAGTTAGAATTTTGTGTGGAGTGGACTTGAAATCACACCTCTGAATACATCAAGATTGAAAATAATTCTCAAACATTTCAAACGGAATTCACCAACACACATGAGTTGTTGTAATAACCCATATTTATTTGGATCGCATTGAAATTTTCAATTTCAACTCAAATATAACCCTCTTGCTATAAGAGAAAACCTCTGCATAATTTCATAGGTGATTCAATTTACTGTTAGTAAACGTTGTATCTTATCAGTAATTCAGTGTTTACATGACACATATAGGAGAATATATGGTTTCAACACACTTAGTCAAATAGCAATTGATCAGATGATCTGTGCTCTACTTCGTTTGAATTTCAGTAATAGTAAAATTCCGTAATCATGGCATTCCATAATTCCAACCAAAATCGAATTTACTAGTGTTACTGACGGACTATGATTCCAATAAAATAGAATTCTCCTGATGATCTGCATTGTATCATCTGATTTCAGTACTCCATTGCCATAAGTAACTGATCGTATTAATATTATTATTAGATTCTGAAAATCACTGCACAATTCAAATCAGTTTCGAAATATGATCAGCTTGATACAAATAATGTTAATTTATTTGGATGAAGGTGAATCTGCAATTAATTGGACTGGACACATTTGACAGAATCGGTAATAATGCAAAGCATCAGATAAGATGAACAATGCATAATCAAAGATAAAATCACATTCAAGGGTATCTTAACACTGGTTATATTTCTTGTGTAATGAAGCATAATATCGGTAACATTAGGTAATGTAAAATAAACTTCGACAAGCTAAGAAAGTGAGTGATTTGACAGAAATCACTGTGTATATTTTGAGTGGTAGTTGTTGCATCTGATGTTTGGAATGTACATGTAATAGTTGAATCACTCGAGTCAAAGTTGATCTTCTCATTACCACTGTGTTCAATAGACAATTCATTTGGTGACATCGGTTCAACAATGGAAATAATCTCTCACAACACTTGTCGTTAATTTCGTTTTCAACTTCCTTAACACTTGCACTGCTAGAACTATTCTCTATCTGCTACTAAACTTTACTACCTGTCATAAGCAACATGAATAGTGTTTGCACAGGTAAATATATCCTGTTCCACAGTGTTACAAAGAGTCTATTGATTAATTCTGACAAATGAGTTGAGTAAATTACAGTATATTCAATAAAACAATAACTTGATGACATAACATAAAATACAATATTCATTGAATTCAGGTTCATTCATTTGATGGTAAAAGAACGTCGTTTTGTGTGTGATATTACAATACTAAGTTTTACTAAACTGAATACAAACGTAAACATGAATCATCGACACACATCACATTTATCTCATATTTCTTCTAGAACGTAATTATTGTCGCTTATTTATTGCACTTCAATTAATAGGTACCGGGTTATTACGTATTCTGCTAGATATTCATCCAATGGTACGATGTGGTCCAGAGCCAATAGTTACAAGAGAAATTTTGTCCATCAGGAAAAAGACTGCATCTCGAAAAGCCATGCTCTCACAATCTGGCATCTCGCAAAATATACTAGACGATGCAATTGCTGGTTTCATTGCATCCATACTGAAGAATATGGGACCACCTGCTGAGAGACTATGTCACAAAGATCCTTCATCTTACATATTTCTAAGAGATTTGAGTGAATTATTTCCGAAAGCTAAGTTTATTCATGCAATACGTGATGGAAGAGGAGCTATAATGTCCACAATAGTGTACGTTGAATAATTTTCGCCTACTTATGGGTCACCTAGCTGACCCGAAACACATGCTTGCACGATGCTTTTACACAGCACGAAGGTTCACATGACTACCATAACATGATCCCCCTTTTGCAAGACTTGTACGAACATGTTGATTAGATTCTGATGCAGGCCAGTTGAATATGCAATCAGTGTAGGCATGAGCAGTCACCCGAGCACGGGTGATTACCAATCAACTCGATCCCTCAAGGCATGCCACAACCCCCAAATCGCAAGTACAGCGAGGCGGGTTCAAACGCCCTGTGCTTGTATCCTGCACGCTTTACTGAGCCACCAAATAGTGCACTTCGAGCAGCCATTCCGACCAACTGATCTCCAACTTCTTCACGTTTGAACAATCAACAGGAGTCATCTAAACCACACATAATGTCAAGGATGTATTTTCTCTCAAGGTCAGCCAGAACAAACAAACAATCTCATGTACCCGTACGCAAGTATGCCGTCAGCCAGGCTGTGCCAATCCCACCACATGACGGTGGGCAAAGATCATGTGCGATCAAGCACCATTTCAGCACAGGATCTTATCCGCTCAACTGGAGACCCATGTTTAAGGGACCTTGATGCCAGTAGACACACTACATGGAGGCGTAGAGTGTTCGGCACAAATACCTACGTTCGGACATCTGTAGTCCAAGATCTGTACGGCTGCTTCCCTGAACAAACCGTAAAGACTTCGCGGCTATGATCACGTATCATTATTCTGGATTATTTCAAATGAAACATATTATAAATAGACATAGTAAATTAATTTTCACCAAGTAAAACATTACGAAGCATACAGAACAAGTTCATTCCAATCGTAATCTAAGTGTTCATTTCCCATGTTGGTCGTAGAAATGTATTAGTTCAGATTATGCAATTCACAGTGAATTCTGTTGTACTAATATTCACCAAAAGGCTTTTCTGTTAATGACACACTCCTCTACAGTACTCTAGTTGATAAAAAATATTCTAGCCGACTAATTCGTTCAACACTACACTCCACTAGTTGCATATATTGTGTGATAGGGGAATACATCTGTAGAAATCTTTGATATACGTAGTTTTACATCAGAATTAGAAAAATTTCAATCTCTTACTAGTTAGTAATTCATCAAACAATACATGATGAAGACAAGTATTTGGTAAAGATGCTGATGATAACTTTACGTTTCCTACTTCATTTTAGACGTAAAATACATCCAGCTTACAAGTCGAATGAAATTCCTCAAGCACTTAAACATTGGGAAAACTTTACATCAAAAGTAGTAAACGACTGCAAATACATTGGACGTAATCGATGTATGACTGTACGTTATGAGTGTCTTGTCTTAAATCCAAAGAGAGAAATTCAAAAAATCCTCGGTAAGATTCAACTTTTCTGCATATTAATTTAATTTATAAATCAATGATCTGAAGGTAATCATATTCAAACAAGATACTGCGATGCACAATAACAAAAAAAGGCTTTTTTCTGGAAATATTACTCCTTACCGTTAATGTCTGATGATACGAGTTTATTTCGAAACTAGCATAAATTGCATTCAAACATCGGATTTATTATCCGTAGTTTTGTAGTTATTCTTTAGTACTTTCATTCAATCTGACTAGAAGACTAGCTTTATTGCAGAATGACAGTAACAACGAAATCTAGCAGTTTGTTTACCATTGAAGTATCACTTTTGTTATTATTATTACTATGTTTACATATCAATATTTCGAATCATCCACCTGACCTACACATTTTCTCCATCCGTGTTTTTACACATCCAGTTATTTTGTCAGTTGAATATGTTACGCATGCTCGTAGACATGCCAATTTGATAGGCTAGGACTATTCCGAGTGTCCCAACCCCCACTGAATAAAAGAAGATGGCTTGGTACGATGTAGAACCTGTATTCGACAAGCATCCAGAAAGTACGAGGTCCGAGTCCAGAAGATAATCATGATCCCGTACTAGGGATCCGGGTCCCAAAACGTTACAGATAATGCGTAATTATACATTTAGGTCGAATAGGAAACCGAATCGAAGTCTGTGACATTGACAGTTAAGGCGTCCAATAGGAAGCAACATTTGAAGTGACATTGATAGTCAGGACAACCGATATGAAACAACATTGGAGTACGTGACATTGATATGTGGGACGACCATAAAATTGACCAGTAGGAATTAACCTATAGGAATCTACCAATAATTCTTTTAGGATATTGGATGATTATCCTAACAGAATATTTCAAACTTCATTAACAAATAAGCCTGAATGACTAAACTCACATGGTCAGCGAAACACACCTTCATGCATATACATTCTCTCATCATTCTTATTTCGCTGTCAAATTAAACAACGCTACGATACGCATAGTTGTATGATTAAAGCAAATGCTTCTATTTCTAGATTTTCTGGATCTTCCATGGGATGATAGACTATTGAATCATGAAAAGTTTGTCAATAATACCTCCATGCTAAATAAGTAAGTTAATCGTGATCTAAATTATCATCAATAAATTTCATTATCAAACAGTTGTTCAGCATCTGAAAATTTTTGTTCTATGTCTATTTCTGTACAGTTCAATTTTTCGTATTTATTGTTAAGATTGAGAATTCAAAAATGCCTAACAAATGTCAGTGCAACTGATTAGCTTTCATGTTACTTACTATTGTACAGTAAGTAGTAGTAGGCTTTGAAATATAATTGATCCATGAAAGCAATCAATGTACAGATCATGACTAACAAACAAACGTATTTATTCAATAAATATTTAAAGCATCTTTGTATAGTGATGTTTTACCTAAAGTCATTGAGGTCAAGTTCAATTAGCTGCTCTGTTATGGTAACCATTTCCACAATACCGAAAACGTTCATTTTTCGAATTATTCAACACGATAGTACGAGTACATGGATTGCTGTCATTTGAATTTTAATGAGGAATGTTATTAGGTTGAATTGTTAAATCTGTGCAACATAATTTGTGTTGCAATATGTAGTTAGATTATTAATTATCAGTGAGAGTACCATATACATTTGTTCTTAAACAGATAACTGTAATGCAGATCAGAAACAACAGTGCAGAATATCCACTACATGCATTTCTACTCACAAGCCACATTCCGAATAGTATACAGTGGGCTAGGAGGACTAACAATCTTACTTCTTTTCACTCCCATCGTCTCTTCCTGAGTATCGGAAACACAATCATTGATTCTAAACCATAGTCATAGCGTGTAATACGTCTTAATAACTATTTGATTTCTAATATTTGACAAATTATTCAGTTCATTATGTATAGAATGATTGAGTAAATGAAAAAGATTTGATAAATGGAGGGTTATGAATAGTGACGATCACCGAATGATTTACTGTTAGAGATGTCATTTACTTATTATCCGGAATTCTGGACATCTAAATGGATTTGAGAAAGATAATCAGAAGATTTGAAAAGGTTTTTTGTAGGATGGAAATGAAATCTTCAATGTCTTGTCATAACATAACTTTAGTTGATGCATCATCGATAACAGACGACACTGGATAACTGTCACACTAACTAACTTTTAAATCTACAATTCAGAGATTAGGCGATCGTTGAATGACCGAAAGAGTTTGGATGACACCAGGTAGAGTCATCGGTGTTCAGTCACGAAGTAAGTCATATTAGGGCGAAAAATACACTTCAATACTTCAATAATGCGTCCGTTGATATCAATACATTGTTGAAGAAACCAACATAGGAATTCCAAACTACCTAAGAGTTTATGCAGTTTGAAGAAATTTGGAATCAGCGTTTGGCGTCAGCTAGGAAGTGACTGAAAACGCAGGAAAACTGTCACCTCCAGCATAGTTATTCCCCAATCCTCAGTCAACGTTTATCATAGACATTAGTATATACAAACCACCTTACAAAATCACTTGTCACATTCTCATGGCCAATTTCATTCAATTTGGACTAGCCTCCAATATTTGAAATCTAAAATAATGATCGAACATCAATTGTAGTTGATATATTTTCATTGCTACATTCTTTTATTGCAATCCTTATTTCAAAAATTTCTATTTCAGATATGAAGCCAGTTCTGTTCAAGTTGTTAAACCTATACACAGAGAATCCTTAGATGCTTGGGCTAAAGAAAATTCAATCATACCCAAACACCTTATTACAACTTTGCATAAGAATAGTAGTCTATTGACTAAACTGAAATATACATATCCTCCAAATTATGAAAAACTATGTGAAGTTGAATTAGAATTGTAAACAAACAGAAGCAAACAGAAATATTCACTATTATTCATATTCATATTCATAAAGAACAGCTTGACTATATTTTGTTCGCCTGTATAATATAAACATATCTATAAATGTTATATACATGTGACCATAGAGATTTATTTCCAATATGCTATCGATATATTATTGTATTATTGTATAATAATTCTGTATTATTTTGGTGATGACGATGATATTTACAAAAAGCCATAAAGTTCAGTGAAATGTAAATATATCGAATTGAGTAATGATGCTTTTATTCTTTATGAGATAAGTGTTAACTCAATTCAAAAAACAACACAATGTTAAGCACACCTGAGTAAAATTCTAACTCAAAGTGAACACATATTGACGTGGACAGTAGTTAGATATACACAGTATGGTTTTCAACCAACTATCTCGAAGAAGATCCAATCCTCTCAATCGATTATTCATATCTATGTCTAGCACTATGTGTCAAAATTGAATATTGCTTCCCTGTTGGAGCTAACATAGGTCAGCAAAGCTTACAAACAAACTATAATCAAATACTAGTAACCAAACAGTAGTTTCTACATTTGAAAACCATGTTCAATTACAGTTAGGTTAAACAATCAATAGGGAATTTTTCTTACAAACCTTCACACTGAGTTTATTAGCTGGTTACATTTAACCGTGAATTGTATTCAGACAGATGATGAAATCTCTCTGCACACAAGCTCAATTTTACAAGAACAACAATAACAAAACTGAAAAGACTAAACAGAAACAACTCAAATTTATTTTATTCTAAATTTCTCAGAAGAATGTTCCGAGAGGACACACAAAATCTTTCAATACATTGAATATATAGGTCGTCAGATGAAAATTGACAAGTATTAATTAAGACTTAAACACACAAATACAACAATTCTTTATTTTGTTGATGAAAACGTCTTTCAGAACTCATTCACATAGTGAACACAACAACGGCACATAATTCAGCTAGTTAACAATCAATGAACAGAATGTAATTTAACAATACACACACACACATATATAAAAGATAATTCAGTAAACTTGGTGATGTGAAAATTTTTAGTGTTGTATCAATCAACCAACATAAGAAGCTTAGAATGCTAAACTCCTATTTTTGTTGAATAGATGTTATGTCTGTTTTGATTCAGATTGATCCGTTATAGGGCTGAGGCCAGCAACATTTTCAAGGTGAGTACGTGTATTGGATATGACATTGGTAGTATCCGCCACTAGAATGCAATGATATATGTAGAAAATAAATTTGTTTTCAAGTTAAGTTATGAAAATTCAATGAATTAACAAATAAGCTAATGATGATAATACGCATGTCAATACAGTGTCGATTTCAATAGATAATCTTGATGGATTTTGTGTATATCAATAGTATAGTAAGATACAAAACCGACAGGAATTCATTTCGGTTAGTACACAAACTAACCAGTGATGCACATTGATTGAAAAGATCTATTCCTACATAACCAGCATGAATAGGTTCAATTTAATTACAGAACATATTCCGAAAAATAAAAAGACGCAATCAGTAGAGTCGCGTTTAAAAACATTTCACAGATCATCATCTCCTCCCTTCGCATAAGTATAATTGACCTCATTCAACAACACCATTGATTATTAGTATCAATTGGGCACAAATTATTGGTCGGATATTCAACTAATTCTACAAAATTATTACACAATGAAATCACCAAGCAAACATTGTTAGTCCACCATTAGAAACATGAAAGCACTGGACTTCCATTTCGTCCTGATATAGGACTCATCAGTAGTGTGCATCCACGAAAGCCGCTACTCGCAGGATTCGAATCCTGCACCTTCGGTCTTGTGCGCCAACGCCTTCCAGGTTTCTAATGGTGATCTAACAATGATCGATTGATGATTTCTATGTGTAAAAACATTGAACACCATATCCATAATTGAAAGAATCCTACACGATTATGTCAGTTGATGTTATCTGAGCTGTTACACAAATCAAAAACCTAGGTGGCTCATTGGTAGAAGTTATCAAATAAGGAAATTAGTAGAGGACAATATACAAATCTCAACTTACAATTTTTCGTTACAATATCTACACTTTGCAATAACTGATGATATTTACGACGATAATGTTTGATTTGACTTTTTAATTTTCGACGTTCATCTGGACTAAGTAATGACTTCACTTTCAGTGGACCACTTTCAGTATCCACATCACCTTCTTTTCTAGTCAGATCAAATGCATTAATTACACCTTCCATGTCTAGATGTTTAATCCAATCGAGCAGTTGATGAGCATCTCGTAAAATGCTTTCAATAATATCGTTATCAAATACCTGGACACAATTTTCAATGAAAAACAATCAAGGTATGGAAAAAGATTATAATGTAAGTGATAGATTCGAATTTTTATGTTTTCCAGCTAGAAGACGCTTAGTTGACCTACAACAAACTCCCAAAATAACGCTAACCAGAACACATATCACAAACCAATTAAACTCTGCCACGAGAGTAAGAATTTCTTTATTCAGCACGGTTATGACATCTGATGATGAAAGCCGAGTTCATTGGGAAGCACAATGCCACTTATCACAATCAGAGCATTCATTCTTTTAGCTACATGGAATGTTCGACCATTGTGGGAGACCGTGAGACTATTCCAAGTTACCACAGAATTGATATGATACAAACTGGAGGTGCTTGGGATCAGTGAAATGCAGTGGACGCATTTTGCACAACTAAGACTAGTTTCATCAGAGTTGCTGTTATAATCCCGCCATGATCAAGAAGAAAATTCCTCACACACACAAGCAGTTGCGCTGATTCTGTCCAAAAATGCAAAACTAGCACTCGTAGGATAGCAATCTCATGGACTCACGATCAACAAAGCATCCTTCAAAATAAAGATGCAGGACATTAAAATGAACGTCATCAAATGCTATGCACTGGCCGAAGACTACAATGATGACGCTAAGGATGGAGGGTAACAGGCGAAAGTTAGTAAAATCAATAAACAATGTGAATTGCGTAGAACAAGCTAAACCCAGTCGATTACAGTATCCACAAATATGAAGCTAAACATTTATGCGAAAACAAATTATTACACAATGTAGCTGGGATGTAAACAGATGGAAGCTAAGTATAACGTTCAGTAGAAAAATACTCAACAAACATGAATATGCATGCACACTAGATTGACATAACTCAAACAGTAAAGCGTGTTCAACATTCAGATTCTGCTGCTGATAGTATTCGAAATCTGCCTGATATAATTATCATGTTATTTGTGAGACTGTCATTGTTATATGGATCACATTTACGACTGACTGAAGCACAACTAACTTGGCAGAAATAAAATACCAATAACACAGGTTATAGGCTTTTGGCTAAATTACAAACTGCTGATTTGATTAGAATGCAGAGTAAGCCTAGTAATGAATCAGTCTTCGCAATGACCAATGTCGACTGTTTCACAATCTACGTAACAGCTTACAAATTGTAACAGTCATTCAGATGTAGTTCCTTTATTTCGTACGACACTTCCATCGATTCCTCCATTTGTCTTTCATTACATGTTCAGTCTATTTTCATATATTTTATTATCTTCCACATTTCGCTATTCACTTCTATATGAATTATAAAAATATTCACCAATCTACTTCACAGCAACGTTCACAAACTGGGCTAAAAAAACATATTATCACGGGTAAACGCAAGCAAATATCAAGACATGTTAATTAAGTAATGTTAACCTATGTTACAACTCTACTTAAAAATACAACGTACAACATTTTGATTGCATAAACTTTCCAATCTTTTAATTATATTATTGAGCAGATCAATTGACCTGTCAACATTATCTGTAAAACAAAGAGAAATGAAACTTTAGTTAAATAGACACAGATCAACAACAAATTACAACAATATTCCGTAATATGACAGAACCTAATATAAACAAATAGGCTTAAATTGGCATGAGCCAGTCAGTAAGTAAGTCACAACGTAGAACATCGTACTACGTACATCAGTTCAGGTTGCCATACTGCATTAGCACAGAGAAGCAACTGTCATTTCAAATCCAATAGTGGTGGAGATAGTAGAGATAGTAAAAGTGTTAGCGATAATGGAGGATATTAGTGATCGAAGATATTATTCAAGAAGTGTAGCTTAGTGGGATAACTTTAGAAAGAGAAGAATAGAAATGATGAGGAATTCAGAAGACTAGAATTGGAGAGAACACAAAAAGTGGATGCACCTGCGCCATTGCGAACAATTTCGTGTCGAGTCGTTCAAGGTCTCTTAACATCAGTAACATGACTCAGTTCACTTGATCGTAACTTTACGGATTTGTGCCAGCTTTCACCCAACCTACTCCTACACCACAAAACATACCCTGGTTTTCTCTAGTCTGTTCTTCACGAGCTAAATTTATTCGACTAATGACACTGTAATTATCGCAGTTGCACTTTTGTCCTTGCTGAGAATTGGCACAATCAGTGACTGAGACCAGTCAGATGGAATTACGTCCAGTTTCCAGATTCTACCAAGGTCTCAGTCAACCTAACTGGACCTCCATCTCTAAAAACCTCTATGGTCAATCTATCAGAACCCGCTGCTCTCCCTCACAACAAATTTCTTTTGCCTTTCTCAACTTCATAAAGACTCGAAGGGCTTACACCGACTTGCCATTCAGGATGAGTGGAGGTCGTGGGTAACCGAAGTGTTGCTAAAGGCCAGTTGAATTGATGCCTAAAGTGTTCTGCCCGTCGATCCGATTTCCTGGATTGAGAATGAATCATAAGACCATCCTTTTCTGAAATGGTTTCGCTAACAGATGGATTTCTAACACCGGTTTCCTTTATAAGTCGGAATAACTGATTACTGTCGCCTAGCGACGCTGCCTATTCCATCTCACTTCTGTTCGATACCCACCACTGTTCGCGATTATTGCTTAGGGTTTTGATCAGCCTGCGCCTAAGCTGACTTCGCTCTTTAGCATGTTCACAGCCAGGTGGAATGAGTTTAAGAGCGAATATCAGATCGGTGGATGCTACTGAAATCCACGGCTTCTTCTTAGCCTTCTGGATTACCTTGCTAACAGATATCACTGCTGTTTCCACAACCTTTTTGAAATCATTCCAAGCTGTCTTCGGATGGGGATCACTTACATTGCCGCCTAATTGTTTTTCTGGTTGATCATGAAATATATCCTTAGCTATGCTAACATCAAGTAACAGAGAACTAGTTCTGCCATAACGTTTCGGGAACTCGAATCGTGTGCATTAGCGGTGCGCAGTGAAAAAGGAATGTGAGTAGAGTTAGTCGTGGAGATGTTATAGTGTAGGAAGGATTCGATTGTGATCAATTTGGTCCCACGTGCTGTTACGGGCATGAGGACGGATGTCGCTTTCTGGCTGCTCACACTGTGGAAGGTCGTTTCTTGAGGAACTTGAAAATGAAGGTAGATTAGTGTTGATCTTAGTGACCTAGGAGCGAGACCGCTGTGCACAAGAGACAACTGCTTCAGGCCGGTCACGCACTACTTTTTTATGAGACGTTTTTGAAGTGTTAGCTATGCTCTTGAAAGCCCTTAGGGGGAACCCTTACCGACGGAGACGGAGATCCTTGAGGTAGTGTGAAGTGTGAAATTTTGAGGGTCTGCCTTCTGAGGAGGCAGTATCACTGCAGATGCTGGTTTTCCGACGAAAACAACTTACTGCTGTCACACCCCTCTGCAGTCAGCAGTACGAATTCGCACTCAGACCTTCAGTAGTCTCATCGTTCTCCATTAGAACAGCATGGCATGGAAGAACCCACAGGAACATATGTTCCAGACAATATAGCTCGGTTGGATCATTATATAAATATAACAATAGAAATTAAGTCAATATCTCATCAGAAAATGAAATGTTATATATATATATATATATATATATATATATATATATATATATATATATATGCGATGCTTGATCATTTTTTCAATGAAATAATAACCTCATAATTTTGATACTTTTAAAATATCACTGCCATGAATACAGTAGATGACAGATAAATCGATTTCGGCTTACTTGATAATATTTTTTGACTTTTCAAAGAATATTTTCCACATTGATTCACAAGAGACACACACAAATGATCCATTTTCTTTGCATAATAGTGTAATCGTACATGAGCATGATGGAGTGACTGAGATTTTGATGTTTTTGTAAAACAAAAAAGAAGATGAATATACAAACAATTCAAAGTGAATAAAATAAATATACAATCATTGCACTTTAATTCAATGCATATGATGTAACCTTACACAAAATCTATCAGGCTTTGATGAGTCCACTACTATTTCATGTAGATATGTTTCCCATACTGAACAGTGTCACAACGACTCAGTAGAAACAATCGAAGCAGTGAACATGAACATTCATTCAGTGGTACAAAGACTACTTATACAAAATAACAGACAATCGATGGTGAATGTTCAATCAGTTTGTCTACAAGATAGGTTGTAGAATTATCATGTAAGCAAATAAATAAATAAATAAATTAATTATTAAATTAATAGATTAATTATTAAGACAAGTGGAATAACAACGTTCCAAGAGCAATTCTCACTGTCTCTGTGATTTGTATGAAGCAAGCAATTCCAAAACAACGAAATGACATAACATCATTAGGACTGAATGAAATGGATTAGTAAATCGATAAGTAGAAAATATCAACATTTCCATTAGGCAAAATCAAAAACAAAACACACAAATTCAATAGGAGAATTCAATACTGCCAATGAAATGATGTGACAATCACATTGTTATGATTGATTAATTCACTAAAACTCATCATTTACCTCGATAAATATTTTCATATTATCCATTATACCAGATTGATCAATTGAACCAATATTATCATGAAGTGTTAATTTCATATGATTATCAATTAATGATTGAGAATTGGTGATTGATGACAATGAACCATATTGTTCTACATTGTTTAACACATCTAATAAAGAATCTTCATTAGTTAAATTCAAATTGATCAATTTCTTCAATTGTACAGTTGTATTATGTAATTCAGGTAGTAATTTATTTAAATTATCACATCGACTAAAAGTTGTACAAAATCAAATAGATTGATAAGAGAAATGTGAGAATATATATCGAAAATACAATAGATCAATTAATTAATTAAGAGTTATAATGAATAAGAAGTTATTAAAATGCAATAAGGATTTTCATTGACCAACATGTAGGCATTTTGATCATCATATAATAAGAACCATTTGAACAGCGATTCAATCAATGTCAGCGGCTACAATATGAGCTATCTGTTGTTAAACCGAACATTATCACCAAATATTCACACTTAGAGTAACAAAGATAGTCAAGTAGAAGTAACAAGTGACATTTGAAAAATTTATTTCAGCCCATCAAAATTATGAATGGAATAATTTGAACTAAATATATGAACAGTCGAATAGTTCATAATTCGTGACTGACTTAAGTAGACGAAATACTTATACACATCGCACATTAATCTTCGCATTTATTCTTACTACTCAGTAAGTGAATACAATTAATGGTCTATTCAATGTTGAAATATGAGATTTGGTTAAGGCACCACATATTTCACATATTCTTGATCAACAAAATGTGCAAAAATCATACAGATGAAGCTGTAGGCTTGGTGACACATCAACTGACTCATTAATTACCTACCACATAATATCTAATGCGAACAGATAAAAGTGATGTTATCTTTTAGGTATGCGGTGAATTCATTAGACGAAAGGCAGATTGTCATTTTACATGCATGCTTAAATTTGTGTAGCTGTTATGTGTTTAGCTAGGATACAAATACAGGATGTACGTTAAAACGGTTAACAATATTTATTATAGAAATAAAAGAGAGAATACAGTCACAGCAATGTGAAGAGTCGTCAGATCACTTTTACCGATCAGATAGTCTCCATTTAAGACATCAGAACAGATACGGTGGTGTATACTACTCAAAACCTCAATTAAATCTTTGGTTTATCTTCCATCCACGTGTTTCTCAAATTTAATTTAGATCACTAGAATTTCCACTAAAGGCTGGATAAAAAGTAAATGGTTAATTATTCAGTGCTCGTGACCTATCATGATCCTCCAATTATCAAATCTTTTCCATATACTCACTCACGCTATAAATAATGAACGGAATAATTCCTCAAAAATTACAAATGAATTAGTTATTAAGACGTATTGAAGGTTATGACTATGGCTTAGAATCAATGATTCTGATATCGATACTGAAGAGGAGAGGAGAGAAATAAAATTAGGTTAGATTGTCGGTCCTAGCCCACTGTATACTATTCTGAATGTGGCTTGTGAGTAGTAGTGCATGTAGTGGATATTCAGCAGTGTGGTCCTCAAATTACTGCTGAGGCGAAGTGTGTCGAATCTGAAAGTATGGAGTGATCAGTGTTTCGAAGACTAGAAGTCGTGTGAAAGAAGAGATAATATACTTGTTTTGCAAATGACAGACAGACAGACAGACACAACATAGTACTTCATAAGTACGTACATCAAGTCAGCTTGCCATACAACATTAGCACAGAGGCGCAACTGTCAGTTAATATCACATAGTAGGATAGGGTTCGAAGGTACGCTCCGAGAAGTATAATTCATTGAGATAAGGTTAGAAAGACCAAAGTAGAGGTGCTGACGATTCCAGAAGAGTAGGATTTGAGAAAGCACAACGAATGGATGCACTTGCACCATTGAAAACGATTTTGAGCCGTGTCATTCAACGTCTCTAACCATCGGTGACTATCGTCTCGCGGACCCCAACCAGGTAGTCTACATCTACCAACATGACTCAGTCCTCTTGTCAGTGACTTCATGGATTTCTGCCATGTTTTGGTTTGGACGCCCCTAGCTTTCTTCCAACCTACTCCTACACCAGCAAACAAAACTCGTAGAGGGAGTCGGTGGTTAGGCATATGTTTCACATGTACCAACTACCTCAACTGATCAAGTTTCAACACTTCATCTATTAACATGCCATCCTTACGTAGCACCCGTTTCCTAATGACAGTAATGCGTACTCAGTTGCCCCAAGATGCAGGAACAATGCATCGCAAAACACCTGGTTTTATTTAGTCCGCTTTTCACCAAGCTCTAGTTAGGCGTCTAAGTATAATGTATGTAGGCCTGAAGATAAACTGTACGCATTTCGCTAGTAAATTGTTTCTTCTTCCAATTAATTATTGATCCTATCTAGTCTTTTCTTCTTCGTTTATTAGAATATCCATTGTAAAAATCCTCAAATTTAAACGTGACTGTTTTCCTTTTTCAATTTAGTCATGCAATCATAGATAATACAATGAATGGATTTAAAGTGATTATCATCCGACTGATTACGGTGTTCTTCGTATAGAGAGAGATTTTATATAATTCAAAAGGAAAAATTAATTAGAGTAACTAATCAACATTGATTTACAGTATACAAATTAACAGAATCAATGTGTGCGCATTGAAACATAGTGGTTTATCATTACATTTAGTTTATTGCAAGAATTCATATTGACAAACAAACAAACAAACTCACTAACTAACTAACTAACTAACTAACTAACTAACTAACTTACAAGATAAAAAAATATCTGAGAAATTTTCATTTTTAAGAATGTCAACTATCACATATTATGATAATTAAAAGAAAACTAAATCACTATGAAATAGTCATAAATTTATTGGTAAATTTTTATGAAAGTATAAGAAATGAGATTAACCATTGGAGTTTATAAAGTTTGTTTTAATGTGTGTTGTGTTAATTCAAACAAATAATATTACAACAGTTAAACTAGAATGAATGAATTTTTTAGTGTAAAGTACTTTTATCTATCGATCTAATGATCAAAACAATGAATTCATCATTAAATCTTTTTTTATATTCAAAAATTTAATGAAGAATTTTATAACAACATTGATGAACAAACTATTTGAATAGAGGTGTTGAGTTCAATCATTAAAATGCATAGAATCTGCTGGTAGAATAAAAATAATTAATTTAATTACTTTTTTATTTTTTTAAGTTGAAAGATGAGTGATAAATTATTAATTTTTTTTAAAATAAACTCTATATATTAGTAGATATCTTCGAAAGTACTAAAATATTTCAAACATTCTAGATATACCACATACTTGCAATGTTCATTGTGAAATGTACCGGCCAACTCATCGTGGTTTATTGATGAAACAGGATCATGAGTATTATCGATTGAAACAGAATCATAAGAAACAGTACAATCTGCTAATTGATCTAATAGATTTTCAGTGGAATCATTTTGTGGTGTAGCAGGACAACGTAATAGAGAAGCTGTTGTAGAACTATGTATTCTGTTCAACTGATCTGCATTCACTTGGTCAAATGATTCCAATCGACCTACACAACCTCGACGTTGTTCTGGTTCGGATAACAGGCTAAATTAAGTTAATAGAAATCTTGGAAAATACTAAATTGAAGAGTAATAGTATTGAATAGAAAAATAGTTTTCTGGCAACAAACTGAAACTTATAATCATTAGACAGTGATTAGTTTTGTACATCAAAAATGTTAACTATTAATTCTAATCAATAAATAGCTAGGGTCAATTTAAGCTTAAAGCTTTTCTGATTGAAGCATACTAAGAAAGATCATGAAACATTACAATATTATTAAATGTTAATTTCTATTACAGATTAATTTATTAGCTGGAGATTAACACAGATATGGAACTTTGAGAATTGTACACAAAGTAAAGAACGATGGACAGGGATTCATTGAACTGAACATCTTCATTTCTTTGGTCAGTCCATCGCAACATGGGAATTTTCAGTATATTTAAGTTCTCAAGTGTTATCATAAACTTATATGTTTCTGTCAACAGTGGATGATTACGAAGGAATGTTGTATGATATGAAATTATACACTTTTCACTAAAGAAATTATTTAGTCCTTTCATAAACGTAAAAATAAGACATATCAGGGATATATTTGTACAGTAATACTCCCCTTTATAATAATTAACATTTTATAAAAAAATGCGTGTTTAGTGTCTGCAAATGATTTGGTTATATACTGAAGTAGGAACAGTGAACTTGAAATTACAAACAAAATGACAAAAAAAACACTAGAATCACGTAATCATAGATTTTATTCTGAAATATGTTAGGATAATCATCCAATATCCTAAGAGAATTATTGGTTAATTCCCACTGGTCAATTTTATGGTCGTCCTAGATATCAATGTCACGTGCTCCAATGTTGTTCCTTATTGGTTGTCTTCACTGTCAATGTCACAGACTTCGATACTGTTTCCTATTCGACCAAAATGTATAAATACGCATTATCTGTAACGTTTTATGACCAGGACCAGGGCTCGGTCCCGGATGCCTAATCCGGAATCCTGTTTCTCTTCTGGATTCGGACATCGTACTTTCTGCATGCTTGTAGAATACAGGTTCTACTTCATATCATGTCTTCTTATTTTCACTCAATATGGGGGTTGGGATAATCGGATTTGCGTAGCATGTCGTGTCAACGGATCCTCGGTCCTCGCTCTCGTTTTCCGACTAGGTAAACTCGTAATAGTTCAAGTATATCAAGTTGACACGTGAACGTGCAGGCGTAACAAATATTACTAGTGTACTAGGAAGCAATCCTTAGCCCACCGATCAACTGACTGGACAATCGGTTCAGAAAATGTAATTTCAATTCTACCACGGGAATGCCACTGTGACACTGATAACATCATTTCGACAAACAAACTGAGACATTTTTAGACGCATCTAAGAGAGTAGTAATCAAATAAAAAGTTGAGCAAATAATAAATTCTTTTTTTTGCTTAATTGTATTGAAATACCACAGTGAATCGAGAATCAGTATGCCTTAGCATCTGTTGAATCTCTATTGGATTAAATATCTTCACAATATTATTTCGCTGTTTTCCACTATCAACCGTAAACTATTTATGTGGACAAATGGTATTGACTTTCATTGACAAAAAAACTTTTCTATAAATTAATAAACGTGTATTTCATGTTTTGGATGTTTGTTAGGAACAGTTGAAATATCGCTGCCTGAATGAAGTTAAGTAGTTATTAGGTTCATAAAACATATCTAGTTTGTTAAGTTTTCTCCAAACTTTGCAATAAGAAAAAATCACATCAGAAGTAAATATAATCTCTGTTTGTTTGTTGAATATTATTCAAAGCTAGGAATTGGATGACGATATTTAAACAGAAAGTTTGAAAAAACACATGGAAAACTTACCGAGCAGATGAATCATTAATTTGAATATTCCCTACATTATTCACCTTAGATGAGCAAGCTTTCAAACGAGCAAGATCATTTTCCAAATCTCTGATTCGTTGATTCTTTCGGAGGACCTTAAATATAAATTAAATGAAAGACATATTATGAGCTTGATGAAAACGAATAGATATGGTTAGAATATCTTGACGGTAAATTTATGTATATAACCTGATTATCTCATTACTGTTGGCAGACACTATAATGTCATTCGGCTTAAACTATTCTAGTTTTTGAGAGAAAAAAATCAAAAATTAAGTGGTTGAATGGATCCCCGTATGCAAGAGCGTAGGGACAGATTAAAGAGAAACGTTTATCAGACCACTTAAAACAAGTTTTTGAGCAGGCATTATGAGCATCGATTGTTTATTACGGAGATTCAGGACATAAAATATTTAACGTTGAAATAAATATTTTATAATTTCGAAATATTACTTGTATCATTACAAATGTATTTCGATAACAAAGTTTGGGTGAAACGAATATCTTCAAAGCTACGTAACAATTATTTTTGACTATATGGTCAAGCGGTAGTAAATATGAAACAGTATACACCTGGATTGTTCTATACTAGAGACATTATACATCTGAAATTCAGAGAGTATCGAATCTTTTCTCTACATCACCTTACCAGGATTTTTAATTTTAACTATTCGTAAAACATCCAGTATTCAAGTTTGCGTTGTTTGATAAATCATTTTATTTCCCTATATTTTCTACCAGAAATTTCATTCAAACATGAACTATACAACATCAACAGCTTGAAATACATTGAAATTTATTATCCTGTAATGTGCTGGTTAGAATGATCTATTAGACGGACTAAAAGTACTAACAGATTAATGTAAATTACCTATATTACTTATGAGTAGTTATTATTTTATTAGATAATTTGATTGCTCTCACTATATTAAAATCCAAAAAACATTAGCCTAACATCCAACTTCGTGTGAGTTCAGGTGACACTGATGGTAATTGTGCTGAATACCAAAGTGATTCGTTTTATTACAAATTCAATTAAATACAGAGAGAAAATCAGCACAAAGGTTTCAACTGACACAATTTTCCAATAGTAGGCAGTTTCAATTTAAAATTACAATCAATGGTTTGAAAATGCCTATTACCTAGAACACTACAAATCACACTGAAAGAAATTCAGAAATACAAATAGGATTTGGAAATGAGGTAAGATGTACTAATAATTCCGAACCTCGACTGATTTTAGTGAGGTAGTTTGTATAACCTAAATGGCACAGTCAGATGTGTCGATCATTATATTAGTGTGGTACCACCCAATGAGGTGACTAATAACTGACATTTTTGAAAGATCAATTTTATGGATCCCTCACATCCTTTAGTAAATAATAAACGATCGACTCAAATTGACATAAAATAATAAGCGTAATTTTGTATACGATCTGACTTTGGTTTTAAGTTATTTTAAGAATCAGTTTAGTAACTTATACATTTACATAGTAACACAGGAAAGCAGATCACTATTAAGCTCAAAGATTCAATTAGTAAGTTAGCCACAGTGAACAAACAAACTCGGACACAAGTTCGATACCTCGAGATACCAAATTAAGTTCTCTCAATAGGATGAAATTACTAAAATGGATAGCAAGAGTCGAAATAATACTAGCATCAATAACAGTCAGCAAGAGTAGGTACTAGAGAGAATGCTTTCTGAAAAGAAAGAAGGAATTCGAGGAATAAGGAGTACAAAACAATATTGAAGCTAAATATCCAGCAATCAAAGCATGAGTGCATCTACGCCAATGAGTGTCTAAATCATATCACCTAAAGTCCTCGTAAGACTGCAGCTGCCGACAGATCTCAGGTCAAAAGTCAGTGATTTTACACACGAAAGCCATAGATTGCTTTGGTCAACACTTAATTTTGACATGTTTCTACTTCATTTAATATTGTGTACAGAAAAAAACAATGGTAACACATCCCAACTACCTCAGATTAACAGTCTTATTAACTGATTTAGTATTTTTGTTTATTACCCTACACACAACTTCAGAATTGTGCACTACGTCTATCCACCACATTTAAGCGATGTTTAAAGACTCTTATGAACAAAAACTTGCAGACTGTATAATTCCTCTCGTTTCATAAACCCTGTTTCACAGCACATAACAACAGAAAGAGGATTGTGATATAGTGCATTTGCTTTTTTATTCGTAGACAAACTTCGTATCTACACTGTAAGTGATGTTAGTTGACAAAAATCAAGTAAGCTTTCACGACCTGTACCGAGATTTTTTTAAAAATACCAATTCATTATTGCTAACGAGAGTTCAAAGATAAGTGTGATAGTCAATATTCTCAACTTTCTCGCCTCTATTTTTACTCTAGGTGTTGATGGATATCAGTCTTGAAGCAAAAGTTTGTATTTTAAGAGAAACGAATCCAAAAAAATGCTTGTACTGTTACTCAGTTTTCATGAAATTCGGTTTTCCCCAAACAGTATGATACATCTGGGTAATCTATGTTTGATGAGTGGAATTTTTAACCATCTCATAGTTTAAACAAAATCCACTGCCTCCTTGATTATGCGTAAGACGTTAGGAAAGATATGGAAATGGTTTCTAGCCATGCACCCTGGTTGTAAGCTAATTTGCTCAAAATTAAAGTATCACTTGTTGAAGGTCAACTCAAGTATTCATATAAAATACAGATTAAACAACACGAAAGATTTGACATACATACATTCATAAACATACTTTTTGACGTAAGTCCTTAACTTCTTCAAGAGCAGTGTTTGCTCTTTCTTTATCCTGTTGTATGACACCACGAAGTCTCTCCACTTCTTTTAAAGCATTTTCGAGTTTCCTACAAAGATATAAACAATTATTTCAGCCGAAAAACGTGTTTTATTATATTTGATAAACATTAGTTTAATCATTATTGAAACATTTCAAATGCAATAACAAACGTTTCAAGACACTTTCATAAACATGAAGATAGAAAACCTTCGATAAGATAAAAAATTTAAAATCTAGCAAATATAATATTGAAGTAGTTCAAAATGTTATTGTCTAAGAAAGGAGATTTTGAGGAAACTAACACAAATATAAATGGTATAACAAGCAGTTTATCATAGTCACTGTTATGTTTACAACAAGCACGTACGTATTCAAAATATACCATAATTATCAGAAATTCTATACTTCTCAAGAATCCCATACTAAAACGTTACAACTGTTCCCGATTCATGGTTCTTATTGACTGATTGCTGGAAATTAATCCTCGGTAATTTCTACAAACCCTTTACAATGACAATCTTTATTAATGCTTGACATTCGATTTCTCCAGATTAACATAATTAAAATACAAAGCTGAAATAACACCTCATAGGAATTCAATATTCAACATTAATCCGGATTCAACAAATTAATTCATTGAAAAACTAATTTCTTTTACAATCCATTTGCTGATATAACATAAATACATACACAGCAATTATACATTAAATGACCTACGAACCACAACAAAATACATGAAATCAAGTACATTTTATTATTGATTCACATCCAATACATTTAAAGTATTGGTTTTTGATTAAAACAATATTTCTGTATCATTATTTAACCGTTAGACATTAGAACAAGGACAGTCATAAATGAATATGTATATAGCATAGTCAACAACTTACTGAGTACGACTTATCAGCTTATTTCGAATTTCAAATGCTGCAGCTTTTAATTCATTATATTTACGAATATTTAGAGTAGGTTTATCAACATCATTAGATTGAATATGATTCTGAGCGACTAGATCTACTTTATCTGATATAGTTTCCTTAGTTAAACAATTTTTCAGCGCATCATTTTCATTGACAACTTCAGACAGATTATCATCAGGTATGTTTATCGAAGAAGTTTGTTCAATAACCAATTTCCCGTGATCTCCTTCTATTTGTGTTGAATTTGTTTTCAATTTATTACTGGAATCTTTACTTGATTCTAAAGATTTTTTACAGAAATTTAAATTTGTACATAACTCTTGAATATCATCTTTTAAACAGATTGATTGTTTCATTAAAGTACTTTCAACTAATTCCTTGATAGATTCATTTTCTTGTTCATATTTAATAACCTTTGATTGAGCTTGACAAAGATCTTCTTCAATTGAGTTGATTCGTGTCACCATTAATTCATAATCTTTTATTGGTACATGTGACTGAATAAAACTAGCTAATTCAGTTTCTAAACTTTCAACTTGATTTCGAGATATTTGAAGTTTATCATTGAGTTCATTGACAGTAGTTTCAAGATTTTCATATTTTTGAATTGATTCACATAATGATTTTTGTATGATTAAATATTCTTGTTCTAATGTTTCAAATTTACATTGTTTCGTGTTAAAAATACCGATAAACCAATTGATATAATCAGATAGTGTAGATAAATTTTCATTTTCAGGTGCTAATCCCTTGATCATATTTATGGCATGAATTTTATCAGCTTTCAATTGATCAATAGTTTCTTTATAATTTGAAAAATTATTCTTGATTATTTCAATACATTCATCAAATGTTTCTGGGATTGGATCATCATTAACTGAATGCAATATTGATTGCAGTTCAGTGGTAAGAGAATTCGAATAAACTTTCTGATCATTGAATTTTTTCAATACATTATCAACTAATACTCTTAAGGAAACAGATTCATTGAATAGTAATAAAGGAGCTAAATTATCGCATGCATATTGAACATCCATTTTATACTGATCAATATTATTCATTACCTGATGCAGTTCTTGTCGAAGTGATTCCATTTCATTTTCTAAAGACTGATAATCATATAATGATACTGATTCATTAAGATATTTTTCAAGTTTGCTTAATTGATCTTTTAAATTAGTAATTGAATCCCGAGATTCAACAAGCTCTGATGTGACATTATCAACCAGATCAATCACATTTACAGATTCACTTTCAGAGTTAACTACAGTTTGAAGACGTTTAATAACAGTATGGAGAATTGAAACATTATTAAATAATTCAGTGTTTCTAATGTCTAAATTTTCATCAGTTGGTGTTGAAAGTACATTATGCAGACGACTGCATTCTTTTCGTAATTCACAATTTTCTTGCTGACATTGTGCTAATACGTCTGAAAGCTCCTCAATCCGTTGATTTTCAAACACAATATGCGGAGTCAATGATATAGAGCTATCAGGTTCAGTATGAATGATTTCATGAGAAATATGACCACCTTGGTTTAGTACTCCAGAAACCTTCATTTTATCTTGCATATCTGCAATGATTTTCTAGAAAAATCAAGGAATACTAACAATTACGTGGCATAATGAAGTTTACATGAAAAATGTGAAACATATAAGTCATATGATGCAACTGAAAGAATTTAATCATTTGAGCAAAGTAAAGATACATCCTATTACAACGAAATACTAGTACGAATGGGCACCGAGATAAATATGCGCTACACAAGTAGTAGTTGAACAAAATTAAGATGTAGAGAAAAAGAGGTGGAATACAGGCGAAGCAAGCGTACGATAAAAGTTTAGAATAGGAGAGGCAGTTTATTTGGGAAGAAATATAGGGATGATGGAGAAAATTTGTAGCTCAGGTGGATGATTGTGGAAGAAATATAATCACGAAGAAATATTTCAGTTAAATGAGTTGCCCATATTTTTATATAAAATGTAAAGGAAAACTGCAGCACTGATGTCATTAGCTTCTGTTCTGAACGATGTCTGATAACATCTCATGCAACATCTCTCGGACTCAGGTCAGGGAGTTACAACAGGTTGATAGATTCCAACCCTATATAGATTCCTTTCATACCACGAAACCATGTCATACACTGACCACCTCTTTACTTTTCCTAACTAGTTCCATTGTCGGCAAATAGTTCAAAATATGGAAGTCGCTGGGATAACATTCGTAGCACATGTCCAAACCATCGAAGTCAGTATTTCAAAATGGTGACTCTAGTGGAATTATCGTCAATGTGCCAGAACACACATTTCCGAGCATCCGCATTACCAACATGGTATCATCATTGAATGTCAATGAACCTTTGGAGACAACGATGGTCAAGCAAAACGAATTGTCCAACATGCGCTAAGCTTCACATGCATAGAAAAAACTGCTCTCATCAACAGGTCGTAAGCACTGCCTTTTACAGCAAGACTAACATTCAGTCAGCCAGTAACCTAAAATGTAGAACTTAGTACGTACGTACATCAGTTGAAGTTGCCATACCACATTAACAGAGACATGCAATTGTTAAATCCCATAGTGGTAGAGGTATTAAAAGTTTTAGGGGTAATCGAAAAGATTATTGATTGAAGATATGGTTAGAGGGATATAATATTCTAGTGAAATAGATTTAAGGAGAGAAAGAAGTCACAAGGAATTCAGAAGATTAGAATTTGAGAGAATACAATGAAAGGATGCTTCTGTGTCATTGCAAGCGATTTTGAGACATGTAATTCAAAGTCTGTGACCATCGGTTCCGACTGTTTCGTGAACCTCAATCAGCTAGTCTACACATACTAACATAGCTCAGTGCAGTTGTCATTCACTACATGGATTTGTGCCATTTGTGACGCCAATAGCTATCTTACAGCCCACCAATACATCAGACAGCGTAGCCCGCCGAGGTAGCATTAAGATCATAACGAAATTTCAAGAATATTTAGATTATTATTCTTATCAAATCATTTTGTTCGTAGATGCTATTCAAAAAACAAGTAACCATCCTATTACAGTATAAATGACCGACATTTTAATTACTGTGTAATTTAAGTTATTTATCTTAAATACAATGTATGCAGGAATGGATAATACATTCTAGTTTTTCAGGTTTCAATTACGATTAAAACATGAAAATATTATGTAAAACCCAAGCAAAGACAAAGGAAAAAAATCGTTAAGTACAACAAGATCTTATATTTTTTAATAACTTACCTTTAGAGTGGAATTCTCCGTCTCTAAAGCGATGATTTTTTTGTTTAAATCATTTGATTCACAAAATGATTTATTATTATTGTTATTAATATTATTAGGACTATTCATCAATTGGATGGATGATTCTTTAAGAGACCCATTCAACTCAGCATAGGATTGATTGAGTGATTGTTCACTGACCATTTTAAGATTTTTCACATCATGTAATTTTGTAGAAACGCCCCTTAAGAGTAAATAATGAAATTAATACAAAAATAGACTTTTGTAAAATATCAGCCCAAATGCTGAATTTCTCTAAAAACTTTTAAGTCAAAAAGGAAATGGGTGGTAAGAACTTTACCCAGTTATAATGACTTGCAAAACTGTTCCATTAAGTCCTACCATGCTGTTGAGATCGGCTAGAAAACGGTGTGTAGGTACATCAGTTCGAGGTGCCATACCACATCAAAACAGAGAAAAAAAGAAAATGTCGTTTCGAATCCCAGAGTAGTAGAGATAATAGCAGTATCAGTTGCAGCGGAAAAGACTAAGGATAGAATATATGGTCCGAGAAGTTACAAATCATTTAAATCAATTTAATGATATGGAAGCAGAGAAAAAATGAAGTCATTGGGAGTTTGGAAGCCTTGCATATAAGGGAAGACAAAGCATGGATGCATTAAAGCCTTTAACCACCCGTTACGATTGCCTCGTGGACCCCTAGCAAGTAGTCTACACCTATTAACGTGGCTCAATCCAAATGTCAATGACTTCATGGTCTCCTGTAATGTTTTAGTTTGGCCGCCCCAAGTTGTGATAGCAGTAAAGTGATTCTCCCAGACAACCAGCATCTGCAGCGATGCAAGAAAGTGGTTAGAAAATGCACTACCGCTTAAGAATGTTACACCTCATCTTATCTCACGGATTCGTCTCCAGTAGTAAAACCTTTTGAAACACAGGACTAACATATTGCTAACTTTTCACATCAAGGCTTCCAGAAGGTGTATCTTGAGCTATGCGATCTCTATGACCACTAAAAATTCAGTCCCCTTTTGAGACCCATTAAGAAGAAATACCTTTCCACGATGTGGGCAGCCAGGAAGTAACAACCGCCTTCATACTTCTAAACAGACCTTAAAATCCTCTTGTAAGAGTGACGGGAATTTGAAACGTTTTTTAAAGTATACTTTCTTAATTAATTGATAAAGCCTCATTGACAAGACTGAAATATGACATGAATTGAACTCAAAATAAATCCAGTCTCTAAAGTGCGTTGATTTTAATTACGTATTAGGTTGAAATCAGATTAAAAACGGGAAAATTCAGAACCTTAATTATCAAGGATCTTCGGATGTTACGAATGTTTTTGTTGTAAAGGATCTAAAAATCAGGTTCTAAAACTATCATATGAGAGTTTGCATGAAATTAGATCTATTTACAGTATATCAACGTATATATAACATGAATACTAATTACAAGTAATATAAAAGCCTGTTACTTAACGATAAAAAAGAATTTATTCTGAAGTATGGATAACGATATAAATTGCATTATTTATCCCTTTTGGTCAATATTAAAAAGTCAGTTCTGAAAATCACAATCAAAAAGTGAATTACTTACATCGGGTGACGCCAGGCTGATCCGTACAATTGACTTAAACTAGCCTCTTCATTTTGACTGATAAAACCTATTGGATCGAAAGGAGGCAACTGACCACTATCGAAGCGAGCACTGCAATCGGCTGATTTTAAAACAATTTTACCAGCTTCCTTTGCATCAAGATCCACCAAGTCCCCATCAACATCACCTATTGAATCATTAGGCCGATTTATACGAGAATGGAATGAATCCATTTGACTAGTAAGTAAAACGGATATATGTTTTTTCACATCTAAATCCCAAAATTCCGAACCAATATCTGAACATTCTTCAATGGCATCACGTAGTCTTGACATCTAAGTGATAGTATGGATGGTTTTTAAGGATAGGGCATTAGCAAATGAATATAAAAGAGAAAAGTAGAAAAATATGACTCTATATATACTACCAACTAAGCTAATAATTATTTAGATGAAAATTACATTTTTTTAATTGTAGGTTGTTTGCAGAATTATTTATGAACAAACCTGACTTTATTATTATCAGTATTATTATTATTTGTATTGACATGATAAATTGGAAGAATTGTTTACCAGTATAAACACAAGGAGGAATTGTTTTCTAGAAGTGCGACACCATCAGTAACATGATCTGATAATACTGTCATTGGTAATCTAACTTATCATTGAACATGAATTGACAAGAAAAAAAAGAATTTGTAAATGTGGAAATGGTACATTTTACGTATTGTAGAATCCCATTATTTCAACTGCGTTTTCAAAGTAGAACGTTGAAATTTACTGAAGGATAATACTGACAAGAAAACTACTGGCTTTTTGAGTAAAACAATAAATAAGTAATATATTACTCTGACTACATTGTTACGGATGTATACAAACAGTATGTAGTATTGTAAAAGATCAACTAATTCACGTTATGTAAATTAATAGAAACAGTGGAATATATTACAATGTATTAACTATAAAACATTTGAGAAACTTATGAGAGAGAAAAAATACAATAGATAATCACTTGATTATTATTCTTAATTATTCACATTTATATACTCACAAATATTTTAAACGAAGAGATTTGAAAAATTTAGTTGTTGCAATAATCTATTTTAAATAAACCAAATTCCTTGTTTTTTGTATTAAAACTTTCAATTAATGCCACTTTTGATGGTGAAAATTATCTTTATATTGATTTGCAGTTGGTATTATTCTTCATCTTAGTTGAATATAAAATGAATATAAAATCAATACCAGGATAATGGTATTTACTGTAAACTAGGAAAAAAATAACATCTAGAATTGAATTAATATTCGGATCAAACCAACTGGATTGAATTATATCAAAACAAAAGGGAAAAATAAATACTTACTGCAATGGACAAACGTTCAAATATATCTTTATGCTCCCATTCAACCATAGTTAAATCGCCGACATTTATTGGTTTCCTTGGCAATCTATTAAAACTAGTATCATAGACATCATCTGTAAAACTGTGGAATAATATTTCGGGTTTTTTTAAATTCTGTTCATAACTTTTCAAATCTTCACACATTGACGATGATTCAACAAAATTTCTTATTTGATTTTTAAACTGTGATACACCAAACAATTTTTTACGTATACTTATATTTTTTATCAAAGCTTTGTTAATAGCTTGATTCTTAGAAAATGGTTTTGTGATATCAGGAAAACTATATTCTGTATTAGTACACTTTAAATTAGTACTGATTGGAGACTTTGGACAACCGAAACGTAGTTCAGCAACAGTTTCATTCAAGTCGGTTGACACAACAGATTCTGAAGTTGGATGATCACAAAGACTTGATGCGACAGGATTTAAAATGCTATTATTCATATTTTCATACAAAGTATTGAATCCACCATATGTAGCATTTGCTCGAGATAAGCTCAATGGAATGTCATTTGATGATGGACGATCCAATTCACCAGAAACTGAAATAGCCTTACGTAATGGAGAAACTTCTTGAGAATGTTCAATATCTACAGCTGCTAAACTACGATTGATCATCTCCACAACTGAATGCTAAAAGAAATGAAATAACAAAAAAATGAAGAAATAGGAGAAATATAGAAATGAAGTCAATAGCTCATTGTATGAGTGCACAGAAACCGGGGCAAAACCATCACTATAAACAAATGGACAATATTAAAATAAAGATAAAAACTTGCATTTAACAACAGGTAGAATTTACAGTCTGTTCAAAATTTAAAGCTATTTAAAAAATCAGGTCGTTTTGTTTTTTCAGGTAAAATACAATAGGATATATTATTAAAATATACTTTACGTCATTCTGTTCAAATCATATTGCAGAAACGTCTTTCCTGGCTTTTTATTGAATAAACATGAGATCAATTAAATTAAGCTTTAAAACCGAAGTATTAAATCACAATTTCAGCGTCAGATAACTTATAAAACAATTCCACGGTAAAGAAACATAACTAGTACAGTACAGTTAAAAAACGGGTTATCACTAGTGAAGTCAACCTAGACGTTTGTGCTGTCATAATCATAATTAGGTAACTAGAAATATTTGGACATTTAATCCAAAACTGTAAAAAATGGAGAAGGAAAATGTTGTTTGCGAGGATTACATGTTGCAAGACAAACAAAATGAGACAATCAATCAATCAACCAATCAATAGCAACGTAGAACTTCGTACGTACGTACATCAGTTCATGTCGACATACCACTTTAGCACAGAGATGCAAATGTCACTACAAATCCCATAGTAATAGAGGTAGTAAAAGTACTAGCAGTATTCGGAGAGATTAGGGTCATAACTCTTCTAAATCAAGACCTCCCAATTCCCAGAACAGAGTTTAAATGGTTGAAATAATTTTTTCTTGTTAGCGGCTTTTTGAGATAGTAATTATAAAATAACTATAATTTTTGTGTGATATCCCAATGAGTAGAAATTTATATTTCTGATGTTTTGTGAGTGAATGCAAGTTACTTCTTCAGAGCAAATACTTAAATAATCGAGAGTAATCAGCACAAGTTTAAATAGTAGAAATATAAATTTCTACTCACTGTGATATCGTCAAAACATGATAATTATATTGTGATTATTAACTTTCCATGCAATGCTCATTTTATTTGAAACTATCAAGCCCAACTTTGGTAATGATATGGAAAAAGAAGGAACATGTTATATTGTTCCTCCGGGTAGATTGCACGTGTATATCAAATAAGTTTGGAATAACTTACCTGAGTAAAACGAACATCATTCAACCGTAACATTAGATCATGTATTAAATCATAAAGATTACGTAAGCGACTTATTGAATTGGTTTGTTGATTATCGGTTGTACAATTTGTCTGCGGTGTGTACATAGCATTCATTTCATTATGCTTATCCACATCTCCAGTTTCAGTAGATTTTGGATGATCTGAGATTTTTAACTGTAATTACAATTCAAAAATTCGAGACATCATTTTGAAAACTAGAATGTTTGAAACGAGAGATAATTAATGAGAGAAAACATAATGAAATATAGTATGCTGCTATTTCCTTTTTCATAATAAGACTTGATCTTAAAACTTACACAATTTAATAAATAGACGAAAGACAACAGAATCTGAGACATTTCAATAGACATTGAGAATTTAAAAAAGGACTAAACAACAGAATATTTTCTAATTTCAAGTTATACATAAAAATCCATAACTGGATTTACACATAAGGTTACTCTCCTCGTAGTCAATGTACACTGAATAATTGAGTGATACGATAAATTGTATTTGTCTGTGCAAAGAATTTTCTAAGCCACTTCAAAGTATTCTCTAATCATGTTTGTTTATTCTTATTATCGTAGTTTTTTTAGGATGTTGAAGCTTCGCTAGAACATATAAAGAATAAGTTTACATTTTAGCATTGAAATAAATAACATTTAAATGAAAGACTTACTGAATTTAATTGATCCTGTAGATCTGTACATTCACGTTTAGTTCTTACTAATTGTTCACTTAAATGATCTAAATCGAAGTGTAGTTTTTCACGAACAGATAACGATGTATTCAACTTTTCAATTAATTCATTGATTTGATTATTTAAGCGCTATAGAATAACAGATTAAATAAAACAAACGCTAACTAATTGTTAAAATATGAGCAGTTTCACATGACAATGCAAAACCTTTCAAGATACCTACTGAATAATAGCGTTAAACTTAGGCTAAATGATTATTGGTGTCGATATAATGAAGCGATGTTTAGAATTCTTAGAAGACTCATATATTTCCCCAACTTTCAATGCTATGCCAAACAAATGCCACATTGGCTAGATAGGTTCCAAGTAAGAGAACCAGGTATTTCGTATGACTGGTTGGTTTGCTGATGGGCAAACAGGTGTTTTTTCCTTATTAAACCTAGTAACTTTGAACTTTTGTTTAATTTCCAGTCCTTATGATACTGTAGAATGTAGTAACTTCGAAATAATGCTTCTTTCAAACGTTTTATGTTATTATTTTAGCTGGTCATCTCCAGGATTATTTATTTCATATGAATTTATGAATTATATAAAAAAGCTTCATATACTATACTATACTAGTATTTAGATATAAACCATACAAGAATGAAATGAAAATATCATAAACAAATAGACAAGGTTCAATAAATAAATCAAACAGAAATAAGTAGGAACCTCAATTTCTGTATCTCTTCGAGAAAGTTCTTCATGATTCAGTTGATTTTCCTTCTAAAAAAGGAATATGGATTAGGTTTTCAAATTCTTAAAAGATATAGAAACTTACCATCAACTGAGCTTCAATTAATTCACATTTATCTTTCAGTGCTGATATTTCTTTCTGAAAATGAACATTAGAATAAAACAATGACACTAAAAAAGGTGTTCAAGATAGTGCTGTAATCAAATAGACCCATAATAAGAAATTGAGACCATTTCTATTTTCAAAATGAACTCATTTAAACATGGAGTCATGATGTTTTTTAGTAACTAAATAATTAATGAAATTTACTATAGTTCTATTTCGAGAGTTAAAACCTGTCAAGTTCAAACACAAAGTACTTGACCATTTGAATTTAGATGTCGATTTATTGATTAAAAAAATTACACAAAGGGGAACATTTCTGACTGGGAATGATAGCTTGTTTTGAGATTTTATTTTTACAGAACTGTATAACCTGCGGTTATTGATTTCTGAAAATAATAATCGGAATTTCGAGACTGTTGAAACAGGCGTCCTCATTACATGTTAAGCTTTATACACACTATATCATATAGAAAAAAAATCTACTAGCACAAGTATGTTAAATGAGATTATGAATAATATACTAATGACCTAGTTCATCATATAGAAATGGTTATTATGTTTAGTCTAGAAGACTAGTTGTCCCTAAAATCTGTTAACAACTAGAGAATTACTTGAATGTAATGAGGAAACAGATAGAATCATCGCAGACTGTTGAGTAGTTTTGGAGTTCAAAAAAGCAAATTAATAACTAAAGTTTTAACACTTACTCCTTGGTATAATTTCAATGGGTGGAATTTGTATATTTCAGTTAATTCCTGAATAACGTCACAAACTTTTAGAATTATCAGTGAAGTAATGTTGGTACACCTCCAATAACCTAGGTTAGTGATTTTAACAGTTTGTGGCTCAAATTGTAAGTTAAGAAGACTGTTCCACATGACAACGAACTGTATGAAATTAAGATATTGAGAAAACGACCTACTTCTCAGACAGCCTAACTTCTGAAAGAATGGAAGTAATGAATTTCAAACTAGAATAAAGCAGTTGTATAACAGTTAGTAATATTTTGTGGTCACTAGAAAAATTTTAATTTAAAAAGAAATTCATTTTCAGATGGATAAATCAAATATAACATAAATTTTTGTAATTGAACATAAAATAGAAGATATTTACTTCGTGAGTTGACTTCATTGAAGTGATAAGTTTGTCAGTTCGTAACTTTTCGTTTCCAAGTTCTAAAATCAAATGCCGAGCTGAATTCAATCGATCTGTTAACTTTGCATACGATTCTTCACTTGGAATTTGATTGTGTAGACTACTGAATTCTTTCAAAGGAGTCCTAACAACACCATTTTCATGACCGGTTGAAGTACTAAAGGATGGAGATAAGCTAGATACGGTGGTCGGGGTCTTCAGATTACACTGCGGGGATTGATTCCATAGGTTCTATCAAAATTCATTCCAAAAAGAGAGCCAATATTAGATCGGGATGTGTAACAATGATTTCATCTCTAATAAATATATCCTAAAATGCACATACTTCGTTGCAAAACATCTGAAAGATGCTAATAAACATAGTCTAACTCAATGAGTTCTCACCACATAGTATTAATATTGATCTCAATTGCATACTGAAGTGGTATTCATCTTTCAAAAAAAATATCAACCGTAAAAAAAGGATTATCATCAACAAACTACTCGAAGTAGACACTTTAGTAAATTTATGTACTCGAGACACAATTTTCGTACAAGGACTAGTAATATTAATCAGGTACGTGGAACGAGATGTAGTTGGACGTCGGCATGAAGTCATCAAACGGCTGATTAAAAACTAGAAAAGTAAGCACTAAATGACTGTTACCGAAATATAGTTTACCATATTGATAATGCTCTAATCGAATGGTACAAGGCTGTCTGGTTGATGCAAGCCGATTCCAAATCTGAAAAAATACGGTCATAAAATCCCTTTCAAGAGTTTCATGAACAATGCTACTATTCAGGTTTGTAGAAGGATTTCCTACTTTGACGAAATGTTCCAGATTCAGTAAACTTTGTGGGTCTAAAGCGTTAAGCTACCAACATTTAGTTTTGAAGTTTTATGATCCCAGATCGAAATGACGAATCGTCTGAGTTCAAATTACTTTGAAAATGTTTCTGAATATTCCAATATTACTTACTGTAATTTGATATCTAGGTAGTAGATGCATGAGGAGTGACCTTGTCATAAAGTCAGAAAATGACTCACTTAACAGCCCAACTATACAAAACTAAAAATGACTGTGTAGGACTTAAGTGAATAACCACTAAACATTTATTTTTGGAAATTACAGGTTCATACTGAAAAAACATTGATTTAAGAACTTGATATATGGATTCAGTAGACAGAAAACTCTAGTCAACCAAGATTTCTTCCTAAATATACACTTAAGAAGATAGGTTCACAGTCGAATTACCTGTTCAGGTGTAAGTAGATTGTCAGATTTTAGGTCTTTAACATCAATGCTCACATGACTCTTGTTGACAGATTCTAATGTGGCACGTAAATCATCAGCTTCTGTTCGAAACATTTGAATTTCTCGTCTGTAACGTTTATTATTATGTTGGCTGAATGCAAGTTCCGCTTGAAGTCTAGCTATAGAACTAGAAAATGTAGATGCAAGGTGAAATTATATTGATAGAAACAATACATATATGGCAGTGAATTATAGAAACTGAGTAGCAATTACTTAGTGATCGCAACTGTGTTGAGATTATTGTCTGTTAATAATAAGCACGTTATCGGAGAATACTATTCACAATCTCTACGACTTTAGACTTGAAAATTAGACACAAAATGCATAAATACAAATAGGGATCCAGAAGGAAACCATTCTGAGTGTTTTGGGCACTCAAAAGGTGTCAAAGCAATTTACATGCATTGAAACAATAACCTATTCTACAATTACTCGCTTACGAACAAGTATGTTGCTGTAAGCAAGCTTACTTTGTAACATCTTGAATCAGTTTCTCTTTATTTTGGCACGCTTTTTCCTTATTTGCGCTTTTAATCATTGCAGCACCTAGCAATTTGTGTTTATTCGTTTATGAAAGAAATATGCTGAAACTTTATATCCAATTATGCGCCACACTAAATCTCACTAAGAGTCTTTCGAAAATGGTCAGAATTATGACAAAAAGGACCGCTACAGAGAATAGACCGTAGAATATTTTGGCTACGAAAAAAGTAAATAAACTATTGACTGTTCACTGCCCAAAGTCTAATGCCTAGTCCATAAAATCATACAATACAATATGGAGGAGTTGACAAGAGTTGTAGATCTGAATGAATATATTGATTGAATGCTTGCTCTTTGTTAGGTCTTAGAACACAACCATATTTAGGTTTATATTTTTGCTGCTATGAAATATGATTAATAAAAACAAACGCAACCACCTTACATGAACAAATGTAGTTCGACTAACATTAGAATCCCAATCAAAGGATTAGGACTGTTATGCTACTCCAAAATAAACGATAGAAACATTTGTTATATGAATTAAGAAAGTGGTATTTTTATTTATTACCTTTGTCAACCTTAGGTTCAATAACCAAATATTCATCAGTGTTATAAAGGAGCTCGATGACAGAGAGCTTATACGATTGAGACATTTAGCGAAGCAGTTGAAAGAAGAACTTAAAGAGTCGTTTTTAAAAGCACACTTTTATCTCATCTGACATTTGATGTTAACCACATATAAGCTTAGATGAAAAATATGTTATGGGTCAGAATAATTCAAATGCATAAAATATATACGTTACACAAAATGTCTTCATAATATTCTGGATGTTGTGATAACACAGCAACCCAGTACCTATTGCAACGTCATATAGCTTTCAGCTGGTACATTTCAGTATCAAAGTATTAATAGTAAATCAACAGGAACACGGTATAATTGATGAAAAATAAGATAATAGTATTAAAATAGAAAAGATAGGAAATAAAATATGACAGAAGCTTCTCATAGTTTATATCCACATAATAGATAGGCGCAATTACTCTACTACGAACACTAGCATCATAACTAGTTTTCACGAGCTACGAACAAGAATCCTAGAATTATCAAGGAGCTCAAATTGACAAAGTATTTATGGACTGACGTTTTCTGGTTAGACTATCATGAAGTCTCTTACTACCGGAATGGCCATATCTCAACCTTTTAACGCAGTCACCAACGAAAGATAATCTAATTAACTGAACAATTCGCTATTACCGTGAGTCCCAGGAAGTTGGTAATGTCCTTAAACTTCATCACTACCACCCAATAGAAGCGTTGATTTTTGTGAACCATGTTTAAAAATTATCAATGTGATCAGTAAAGGTATTATATTAACCGAAGAGAGGATAATATGACATATAGCTTATTAGCCAAGAATCTGATGATAGCAAAACTGATGGTTGAAAATTTTACGTGACAAACGAAACTGGTAGCCCGGAGGAAACGTATTCGGTTAGTGAAATCTCTCGTTTTATCTTTTATGATCCTTCCGTTAACATTTAACTCAGATTGGAAAAACACCATGCGGCTATGATAACTTATAAGGAACAGTTATGGGTAAATATGTCGAACTGAGACGATTAAACTTGATGACTGTACATTTTAAAAATTTTACCTCTGAAACTCATTTTTACACTTTGCAAATTCTGTGTCCTTGGCTAATATGGACATCTCCAAAGCGCGAACTTTTTCTTGAGCACACTGAAATTCAGTGTGTAAAATATCATATTTTTTTCGCCAGTCTACAATTAAACGAATTATTATAAAAAAAACAAACCATTTTCAATAGTATCGTTTTTTTGTTTCAAACCATCTATTTGTTCACGAAGTTGGTCATTCATTTTCCTAGGATAAATTATGTAAAAATCAAACAGGCGACTCACGATGAGAAATTTAATAGCGTATCTTTTTCACTAAGCGCTTCCTTTAAGAGAATATTTTCAGACTCAGCAGCATATATTCTCTATTTATTTTTGATAAGTCACTTGTACAGAATTTACCGATGACTCCATATCCTGTGGTACATTAGCTTGACGATAAGCCCTTTCATAATTATACAATAGCAGTCTCAGTCGAAAATTTTCACGTCTCATATCACCTAAAGTCTGCAAACATAAGTGAAAATAAGATTCGCTAATCACCTCTTCAAGACTTGAACCTCGTCCTATAGCATTTGAATCTAGAAAGAGTAAACTAAAAACGTTCTACCTACTATTATGGGAATGACAGTGTTCAACCTGGAACGTACCGCTTTTGTTCGGTTTTACAACAATATGGTCACTGAAATTAATATTATTAAAATTAAATATAGTAGTTCTAACCTTATATCAGAACTCATCAGATTCACCAGAAGTTAACGTCAGCCAACTGAAAGCAATAGGCATGTAGAATCTTTATTACAGTTAGTGAATCATAAATAACAATTTACTACAACACTATGCATTGTACAAGCACAGAAATCTTCAGTCAAAGAAACGGAAAAATGTAAGAGTTAAATGAAGAACTGGGAAATGTCCAGAATTTAAAACAAAAAACTGAACACGTTTCGGTTAATGTGAATGATTGCAACATAAAAGATTCAGAATTTTGAACTAACGGACTGTTATTAAATGAGCGATCCTAACTAAATTTCATTACCTAGAAATTCGCTTACTCTCATTATTAGTAACCTATTTAGCCAAACACAAGTAGTGTTATAAAAATATTTCTGGTCAAAAAAGTGGAACTAATGAATTTCCCAGCTTTAATGATCCTGACTCAGATGCATAGTACTAGATTGCAGAGTAATATACTTGCTACTTGATAAGAAATTAGATATCTGAATAACATGTCGATGGGTTTATAATTATTTATATTTGGCGGAGGGAAAAAGCATGTTACATTCTTAGTTGCTCATTGAGTTTAGAGTCAATGTACATAAGATACTTCAAAACATAACTACAAAGCCAAAGCTGGACATCGTAACCCATCGTAGTGTATAAGAAACAACGGAAATTTTTTAACGGGGGCTTTCTGTAAACCTTGATAGCAATATCCTTGAGTAACATCTCAAATAACACAATATTCCTTCCGAGTTCTTCATACGGTCAAGCAATGTCAGTAGTTCCTTAGTCTTGTGAAATGTTTAGTGTGTCATCAGTAAGAATCATTGCAAACTAGAACATAAAGGAGAATGAAGACCGAGTAAATAAACATCCATCTTACGTTACGCGCATGGGTTTTCGAGACATTTTTCCCAAGTTGATAAACCATTGCGATAACGAAGTGTCTACCAAAAATGTAGGCAGTATTTCCTATTTCAAACAAGACTCAGTTGCTTTAAAACACTGATAAGCTAGATAGCTTGTTGTATTACGTGCTAACTCAAGCCAACCTAATGGAAGCAGGCGTAAAACGGGATGTCAAAGTGGACGATTTTTCAACTAAACGTAACAACACATAACCCATTTCGATCAACTTACCCTTCTATGTGCAAGTATGGGTCATCATTTAGTTTCCAATTATGATGACCACAGAAATCATCATAGTATCAGTCGTAATTCTAAACAAAATACCTTGACAATTACTCAGATACGAATTCCGAGATGAAGTATTAAACCGGTAACTTGATAAGCTTTTTATGCGGTTTCGTATATCTATTCTACTTTTTGAAAGCTAAACGCACCAAGACTAAGAGCATTTACGCAAATAATTGTTTGACATAACTCCCTCCATATGCTCTATGTTAGTAAATCCATAATTATTGCGTTACAATGATCAAAAAACACCCGTGTTGGTATTGTCAGTAACACACTGAAAATAGGAGGCCTCACATGAACTACGGTTTAAATACCAATATGTATGGTGAGGTACAGTACTCAGTTAAAATGTTTGCATCTGGATAAAACGAAGCCATCTACAACAATATCGGAGTTTCGTACTCAAAAATATCCGGTAGCGGGGTTTAGAACTTATGAGTTACTGAATTTGATGATTTGATGGCATTCAGTTTATCGATAAATACTGACCATAAAATAAATATCGGAGGAGAGAAACAGTACGATAGGCAGTTTTATGCGTAAATCACAGAAATCCACTAAAATGAAATAGTGTAGGCTTTTTAACAAAAATAAATCATATAAATTTAATGGAAAGTTGTATACGTTGTTCAGAAGGATGACAAGAGCACTAATGACATATGAATAAATAGGTTAAGAGTAGCAACTAAAAGTTCAGTTTCAGCGACTAGATAAATTATTTGGTATAATCAAATACACTCAGATGAGAAGAATGCTTAAATTTGTAGGGCGACAAACTGCACCATCAAAAGTCTTAAAATTGATGCATACGCAAGACTTGAAATAGAACATACTTGACGTACTTGAAATTAAAAGACAGAATAGTAAAGATTCTTATCTAGTATTTCAATAAAAACGTGAAGCTATTCGAAGCAAACACTGCTTAAAACAATTTTAATACATTATACGACTACTACAATTCAAAACACACAAGATTTGAGCGCCACTATTTTGTTATTATAAATGTACCTCAATAGAACAAGGTATCTTGATCAACAAGTAATGAACTTTGGTAAACGCTTCAAAGAATATTTTCAGAGTTTTAAGTGCTGACTCAGTGTAAGACAATGGGAGGGAGATCTTATTTTACCAATCTTAGCGAATAACCTCAAGTGAACTCGTTTCACTAAGCAATATGCAGCACGCTTTTCGAATAAATATCATCAAACTAATAAATTTAGTTGCATAGTAGGCAGTTAATCTGTAGAGTAAGTGAGACAGCCAAAAATATTCGTAGTTTTAAGGGTGAGATCTGCTGTCGTGCGCATTTGGGGTAAAATGTTCAGAAAAGTATACCAGCTGTAGGTTTCTCTGATATGAAAAAAATTTTTACCGACTAGTGACACCTGATTGTGGATTTCGGTGAGATCGTATTTTATAGACAGCATGATTCAAGCGTGTCACAACATACATAAAATCAAGATATGTAACCAAATAAATATTCATCATACATTTTCTTACCCCTAATGTGTTGAGAATAATAATCAGCATAGTTTATTTCTTCCAAGAATTGACGTCCTCTTAGATAATACCGCTTGTGGACTGCAAACATTTGATTGCCCCACTAATATATGAAATCAATTTTCAGATAATTTATTAATCAAGTTCCAACGCACACTGTTTTCAAAAACACCCGCGATGGGGGCCTGCAAGACCAACAAAGAGAGCTAGAAATAAAACTGCCTTCAATATTCATCTGAGAGTTTGACTGGCTTTTTAATGACGAAACAACAAATCTGGGCATATGGAATGTCTCAACAACCTGGGGGAACTGAAGAATTATAAACTCAAAACTTGAGCATGCTCCACTTATAAAGAAAGGGATTCGTTAAACACAGTCCATAAATTCTGGTTTCACCGACAGTGTCGCTTCGATATATACAAAATATCACGAAAAGGGCTTATATAATAGGAAGATCATAACTCCTAAATTCATTAAAATAATGACAGTGACGAGTTTATGCGTCTTTGATCACATAGCCGAAAATGATACAGTATCTTGTAAGAATGAGCATACAAAGTCACATGGGCTTGAGTGAACAATGCGAAAGACCAGACTGACGACAACACCAAATTCATGGGAAATGAAAGGTCAGAAGGTGGAGATAATGTACCTTAACTCTGCATACTGAATAGCTAGCAGAACAGGAACAGGCTATTTCACAGTCATGATCGAAAGCTGAAGACATCAATTTAAACATTATTAAATTTCTCAGCAATATAAATTTATATATTGGCAATATTTATTATTAACAAATAGAAAATATTTGTGCGATTAAATAGATTTTAGATTACCACGTGGAAGTGATAACGATAATGCTCATGATAAAAAAGCACTAGAGGACTAGGAAAACAGCAGCAAATAAACTAGTGAGGAGGGGTGAAAGAGCTATTAGAGGGCAATATGTGGAAGACAAAAAAATGATATCAATGGGTTGAACTACAACCACAACCGATGTGAGACATTAATAATACTAAAAAGCCAGCTGCAAAATAGAGTAAAAGAGTCGGAAATGCAGAACCTGAAAGTTGACTGGATCATAAAGACCAGAACATCTCTGATGAAGCACAGATTACAGTTGACAGCTCGTATGTAACCGAAGATTTGGACACACTCAGTCTGTATTATTAACCCTAAAGTAATACTGTTACCAACACAGCAAACACATTCACTTACGAACGCAAAAATAACAATCTCTAGCGAAAATAGCATGAAAGAGGATCAGTGAGAATCACGCAAAATAGAGCATGTGATAGATTGTAATCAAAAATAAACCCGAAGACGTGTGCATAAATCAACTTCATTTATCATAAAACGTGGAAAATACTTGTGTTGGTTAGACAGGAGAACATTAAGGAAACTTCTTTCACACTGTGATGTACCTGAGAACGTAGACAACAACATGCGGAATTATCACCATGGACTACACCGCAAAATTATGTATGGAGGGCAGATCACAGATTCATTCCAAATGAAGAGCAGTGTCAGGCAAGATTTTTCACTCTCATCCCTTCTTCCTATCTTGATGCCCTCGCATGGAATACTCAAGATAAGAGGGGCAGTGGAAGACCGAGGAACACAATCAACCAAGAATCGTGAACAGGCAACAAAATTACTAACTGCAATAGTTAACAAACCGATTGGAGTTCATGGGACAAAGTAAGTTAGTAGCTTGTGCCAAAAGACTGGAAATAAGTGTAAGCAGTGAGGTAATACGGTTTATGAGGTTGTCTGTGACCTCGTTGATTGATTTCGAAATGACCAAGCTCTCACAAAAACTGGAGGTTTGATGACCAATATAACTTCGGAAGACATTAAGCTACTTTACAGTTGTGAGAGATCACCATAATCGGAAAAAAACATAGATGCAGATAACGCATGCTCTGTAGTCATTTGACCTCTGTCAGTAACACATACATGATGCCGAGACATCTGTTCTGTTTATTGGACACGCAATAGAGGCCAAAGATTGGCAGCGACCATTTCAAACAGAATTGGTCAGCCTACTTTAAGCGATATGTACCATAAAATCCAGAAGGTAGATCCTACTGTAGAAGAAGACCGTTTAATGAAATCAATCATCTTGTGCCTCAGTAGCAATATAGAGGGATTAATAACCGGTGTGATGAAAGCCCTGTAAAGCAGTTTCCTGGGAAACCCATCACAGCCATTAGAAATTAGGCACTGACACTATGTGTAAAACTATAAAATAAAGAATAAATATCGAAACTGACTGGGTACAGAGGAAAACCATTATTGTATTCGTATAGCGTCTGGAAGAAAGTCATGCGTACATCCACTAATAACCTGTTGTCTGTGCTCAAACTAACTTTGTAGTTAAAACTTTATCATCGTCTATTCCAGTTGCGATATAGATTTAACCTTCAGTTATTAGAAGTGGACAGCAAATTGGTCTGATTGTCATCTAGCAGACTTATTTATCCTAAGTATCAGAAGATATTACTAGTCCAAGAGAGCAGGTAAAAGACAATCCAATCCTAATTATGACTGAACGTAAACCTAAAATCCAAAAGCTCTGTACCCTAAAAGAACCAAATGACAAAAATTTTATCGATGTAGCGATGGTAGGGGCATTTACTGACAACTCTATTGATGATTCAAACCAAGAACCTAAAAGTGCGTAATGCACCTCGACTATAATGCTGGCTAACAGTCCCACATTAGTATAAAAAGAATGAAATGCTCGCTAAAAATCCATCAATACATTGGTATTCGATGTGCTCAAGCACTCGTTAGAGTTACAGAGAATCCCATTAAGAGTAAAAATTAGCTGCTCTTTCGTATCCTGGAAAGTGGAGATAAGCAAAACAATCTGCAAAAAGTAATTGCATTACTACCGAGAAGAACTGATTCATGAGCAGTTGAGGCAATACATAGATAAAAGCAGCATCTTCAAGGAAGTTCGGGAATGCAAAGTTGTAAATATTCGATCCTCCCGTAGCATGGAGCAGATGGATAACTCATGCATACAAATATACCGGTTCACATAATATTCCATGACTTCGCAAAAGCCCCCGGCATAGTACCTCACGTAATCATTTTTGAAACCATGAACCGATCAATGTTAGACCACCACTAGAAACCTGGAAGCACTAGACGGCCGTTTCGTCCTGGTATGAGACTCCTCAGCAGTGCGCATCCATGACTCCTGCACCCCGAAGGATTCGAACCCAGGACCTTCGGTATTGTGCGCGAACGCCCTAATCGATAGACCACTGAGCCGGCATCTAACGTCCAGTGCTTCCAGTGGTGGTCTAACATCGATCGGTTCATGGTTTCAAAAATGTGTAACTTAACAATCTTCACAACCCCGTAATGCAAACCTCACGTAATCGTCATAGCGAAGGCGAGTTTTAATGACCTACTTCTATCTTGACGCCGAAGTTATGTAAATACCGTTTGATGATGGAGATCCTCATGCCTATGCAAAACATGCTATGGTAACTGCCATCCAGCTATCGCTTAAAAAGACAAGACTGTACACAAACTAAACCGTTTTTGATTGTAATTACTAACAAATCATACAGTAATTCACTCAGCATCTTTATATATGCAAACAACACATTGTGATTTTCTGACGTTAACACACCAAATTATTGAGGTTTGTATCACCCTTGTTAATTTAATTTGCTTATAGCTAACATAGCCTCCATCATAATTATTATAACTTGTATTTAGCTATTTCCGTCTGAACTTAGACGCTTCAAACAGATGTCAACTGGTTGAAAGCTTTATTCAGAATAACAGATGATGCGACGATGGAACATAGCGTAATGAATACTCCAGCAAAATCGCCCTTTGAGAAAACCAACGTAAAAGCGTACATGAAACAGCGAAAACAAACCGTTATGACTATCCCATAACCTACTTAACATCACCAATATCACATTACGTTAGCTTATTCCTAGGTATTAACTTTCTCTATCTTTTATTCTAATTATAATGTCTCTCGATACCGTCTGTATTACTAAATTAATAAACTCACTTCTTTCGTAAATCTTCTGAGATTATTCGAACTTTCTTCCCATCTTTTTTCACGTCATTAATCTCCTGCCAGGTGATGTGATGGCTGTAGGTTACAGGAACTCTTGACACTAAGACAAACTCATTAATTGAGATTACACTAAATCAAAGATCGGAAAGTCACTGGACCTACTACAGTTTGCGCAGTTGATTGACTAGACTATCATCTATTAGACTTTACCACAAACCAGCAATCGTAGCAAGGCAGAGGATCTGTGCTACTTTTATTTGTATCTGATCTCTAGTTCATTCTGAATCTTGTGTCATTGCTGATTGCTTCTCACTGATTTCCTCAATCAATATACATGTTTTATGTAAGTTTGCCGTAAAACACAAAACACCTTTTGACTAGACGAAAGCCGCTACTAACTCAACGAGTTCGTATCACATATTTTCCTCTTCTAATTATTCCAGTCTTCTTTTTCGTTCATTGAGTAACATGCGCAGTAATAGTGCTACCACCACCTCTAACAAAATAACAAATAAGAAGTGTAGAGGACTAAACCCAGCTGACAGCACTGTGTCCGAAAACCCAGTTTCTAGCAACAAAATCGTAAAACACCCAAAAAACATGACTCGATGGTGAACCTCAGATTTATATGTATAACTCATATCATTCTACCCAAACACCTTTGCTTGGTCTCTCACAAAGTAACCAGGAAGACACTTCCTCCCAGATTCCTGCTCTTAGTAAGACCAGCATGCGAAAAAGGAATGCCGAAATTCTAGTAACACGTCCTACAGTTCAAGAAACAATACAGTAATTATAACTGTGTCACTTGCTGACAGCCCGGTAAAAGTAGCGAACTGAATTTGGATGTAACTTCCATAGTGAATGGATAAACTGACGCTATGAAAATGCAACACCAAAACAGTACTGTATGTTCATACTCAGTCACCGCTTTATATGACTGTGGTGAAGAATCATCAAACCAACAAGATTAACAATAGTAAAGCAAACAAACGCTTCAAAAATAAACCAACTGACCCCCACTAGCAAAGCTAATCCACCCAACAAAAGATCAGTCAAAAAGATGACGGAGAAACCCCCCAATCTGTACTCATACATTATCAAACTGTACCAATCCAGATCTTAGCTGCTACCATGACATGGTGATCTGACTTACCTATCGTGATGGCCCAACAGAGCTATATTTGTTGGAACAAATGTTCCTGTCAAACCGGCAATATCAGGCGGGTCGATTGGAGAACTGTCTGACTGAAAGTAGCAATTCAAGTTCTGAGGCGAAGTCGTACTGCTGACTGTATAGGATTGCGACGACAGTAAGCAATGCTGCCTTCTCTGAAGAAAGGAAGGGGTTAGAAAATGTCGACCTTGAAAATGTCACACCTTACCTTACATCAAAGATTTCGGTCTCTCCTCCGAATCTTTACGAAGTTGAGGATATTGGAAATCTGAAGCGAAGGCGGCCTCAGTGCCTGACAGGCTTACGTCTGAGATTTTTAAGGATGGTGGTCCATTTTTAAGTTAGATTGACTGAGATCTTAGGTAGAATCTGGGAACTGGGCGTAATCCTATTCTATTGATCTCTATCACTGATTGTCCTAGTCTACAAAAAAGGACAGTGGTCCTCTCGTAAAAATCAGAGAGGAGTCAGTTTAAGTAATGTAGTATCCAAAATATTGGCCTCATAAATATTCGGACGTCTAACTAGAGCTCATAAAGAGCAGATCAGAGAAAACCAGGCTGTTTTTCGACCTGGACGTGGATTTTTAGACCACATGTTCACACTACGACAGGTCCTAGAACATAGACACACGTTCAGACGTCCCACAATTTCTCGACATAAAAGCGGCATTCGACTATCAATCGTGAGGTTTTACGGCAGTGTGTGTCATTGAAAGGTGTACCAGAGAAGTACATTAACCATATACATGCTCTCTATTCGAACACCATTGTTGGAGTGAGAGCTTATGGCGAACTGTCACCAGAGTTAATTAATGTAAACGGTGTCCGTCAGGGATATTCATTCCTGTTTAAGTTTGTCATTGACGTGTTTTTGGTTACGACACATGCATCATCTGAATTTTCAGGAGTGAACCTTCTACCAGGAGATTCACTGGGTGACCTAGAGTATGCTGATGACATAGGTCTACTTGGTGAAGACATTGACAAAATGCTGTCATTTGACTACCTTAAGCAACAATGCAGGCATGTTCACGAGGCGACTCCCCCTCCAAATACAAAATGTCGCTTCAGGATTGGTTTGCATCGGTACCTCACTTATCTCGTAATTCTCATCAGTGCTGATGGTCTGGTGTCCGACGAAATCTCACCGCAGATACAGAAGGCTCAATTGGCTTTTGTCAACTTGTTTCACTTATGGCGTCCGTGAGGTATCGGTTTGGTAACCAGAGGAAAGTATACTGCGTAGCAGTTCGCTTGACAAGCGATGTTTTTCGGTGTAGGAGTAGGTTGGAAGCTAGGGGAAGCCAGACATAAACATGGCACAAATCCATGAAGTCACTGACAACTGGAGTGAGTTATGTAAGAAGGTTTAGACAACCTGATTGGAGCCCACGAGACAATAGTTACCAATGGTTAGAGACCTTGAATGACATGGCTCAGAACCGTTTGCAATGGTGCAGATGCGTCCCTTTTGTGTTCGCTCGAATTCTAATCTGAATTCCTCTTGACTTTCATCTTTCACTTCTTAAATTTGTTTCACTGGATTATATTGCTTGAACAATATCTTCGAACCCTAATCTTTCCGATTACTGCTTATACTTCTACTACCTCTACCATCATGGGATTTGAATTGACAGTTGCATCTCTATGTGCGAGTGTGGTATGGTGACTTGAACCGATGTACGTATGCACTTCCGAAGTACTACGTTGTTGCTGATTGACAATAAATAAACTACACAATATTGATAATGAACTGCGAACAAAAATGTAACAATTATTACAAGTATATTGTTGAAAAAGCGATAAAAACCAAATACTTATGAAAGAGATAAAGCAACAGATCCTTGATTTTGAAAATCAGAAAGCTGACACAGTCAAGCAAAATAAATCATCAAGCAGAGCGGTGTTTATGTGTTGAGATTCAACAAAAATGCTGTATAAATGAATAAAGCAGCTATTATTAAAAAATTTCAACATTATTGACGCGCATGTATGAAATTTAATTGACGAACATTAAAGATATTTTTTATCTTGAATCAACGCATGTTGTTTTCAATCCTTTTCCAGTGAAATTTGTTTTAAACTGTTCTGGAACTGCGAACTCCTCCTAAAATTTTACAAACAAAAAATAGGTTTACCACTCTTGGAAAAATTATTTATTGACAGTTATCGTTTACAGAAGTCCTGAGCCGATCTGCGCTAGACCACTACTTAAAACTTGGAAGCATTGGGCAAGTGTTTTCGTATGGGACTCCTTAAAAATGAGCACCTACGGGTTCATGGGAGGTCGGTTGTACAATATGGTGGATTGATCAAGGTTAAATATTAACATTTTCAGTTTCCGACACCGCTAGACCGAATGTTCTAGGTTCGACTTCCGTGTACAGGGTTGTGGATGAGCACCACAGAGGAGCCTGATGCTAGAATGAGACGATCGCCCAGTACTTTCAGGTCTCCACTGGTGGTCTAACTTAGACAGGTTCAGGACTTTAATGAAATTTAACAATCTCTACAACTTTATACTTACAATTATTATTTAGGTTGTTATACAATGAGTTACCGGATAAGACTGTTACAGAGTACACTTCTACTAGATATAGCTAGATTTTTCATGTAGTTTTACAAAAATAAAAATTTCGCATACTAGAACAAAGCTAAAAACAATTTATTAACTGGTTAATATAATGCCATAAGAATGCACAGACATTGTAATTTACTTCCCGAAACATATCGATCTAACTTACTACCAAAAGGATTTCTGCTATGTAAGCTACTGTCAACCAATATAATAATATGTATTGTCTATCGCTTACATACATATAACGAAATATATATTAGTGATTAATAGAAGTGATTATAACAATGATATGGCGAACTACATAGACTGTTGCTTTGTTGACAAATTATTCATTAGTGTGATGTTTTGATGATTGGATTTAAGTGATACTTTTAAAATACATATCAGTATAATTTTTAAAAAAAGTTGAAACCAATTATTAATTAAAAGTATTAAAAAACTAGATAAAATGTATGATTATGTACAAATGTCTACATTGAATTAAAACATAAAATGAATCATAGTAGAATCATCATATAGGTGGGCGGTGTGGTTCATTAAAAAAATTATCAATTAGCAAAGATTCATTTCACAACCGAAGTACACCTTGAAATGAAAAAAATATTTTACACTAACAATAATCGATATATCACAGAATAATATGAATTTATTTTATTTTGGGGCTTCCCTTCTCATCTGCCTACATATTAAAAACAATATAGTGATCATTACTTAAGATCAATATTGATGAAGAACATTAAACTATGATATTTGTTAAATTAGTTAATCGACAAATATTTAACAATCTGAATAAATTTTTTTAAAAATAAATTCTTTAACACTTAATAATATTTTGTTTAAAAAATAATCTTTATTATTGAAATAGGCAGGTTGATTTTAAATAATTATGACAAACTTCTCTCTCTCGCACGCGCTATTTGTTTATGTAAGCCAATGAAGAAAATTCACAAAATGCATGAATTTTAACTACATATTCACTGCTTTTGTTTTCAATTTAAATTTAACAAGAAGAAGGACAATTGTGTGTGTGCATGTGTGTGTGTGCGTGTGCGTGATTGTCACATAGTCAAGATAACCTCTATGTATCACATTGAATAAGTGTACATATTGAGCAATGATCTACTAAACTTAACTGTGTAACATTGGAAAAATAATGCACTAATATAAATGCAAATATTCTCGTTAGTAATTTTCTCTTTCAACTATAATTGTTAAAACAATTAGTCTTTTTTTCATTAAAAAAAATTAATGTTAGTAAATATAAATTCAATTAAGTGATGCCAAAAAGAACCTACAATATTATATATTACAAGTAATTAAACAGAATGAGACGACTACATTCTATAGTAGGTATATAGATCAATAACTAGGTGGTACTTAAATCATAGAGAAAAAGGTCAGTATATTATTAGTATCCTGTTACATTTAAATAATTTCTTTCTAATTATTCTATTAGAAATTGCTTTGTTTTTTTTTTGAATAAATGCCATTTTATGCAAGTGTATTCTCATATTCTCAACCATTGTGTATGATCTTGAGGTCGTTGACTACAGCAAAGCATATTGGTTGACTTGAATCAGCAAGAACTTGACAGTTTTTCAGAGTTAAAACCTATTTATTGTTTAGTGAAGGTTCTAGAATGGTCTGTACATCATCAAACGTTTTTTTAAATTTTAAATATATGGAATATTAAGGCTTGATAATAAAAACGCTTCTTGTGAAAATTGATAGGAAAATGTAGGTAAATTCAGTTAATTTATAATTTAAATTGAATATCATTCAATATTATTGAAAAGATTAATAAAAGTTCTCTTTTAAAAAAAAAACAACGTACAAAATCATCAACTCCTTTAGGTATAAGAATATTGATCGCAGAAGATGTTGCTGTAATGATATCAGCATATTTTGAGTCTTCACTTAAAAACACTTGACATCCATCTGTCTTGTCAATATTCACAGTTGACAATTGTCCAAGTGACTATACAGAAATAAACATATATATTTTGATGAAAATTAATAACAATAAAGAACGTATATTAATGCATAATATACACAACAAACATTACATTATTACTGTTAGACAATAAAAATTCAATCAGCAACAGAACAATTTTATTGAAACAATATCGAATGTTTGCGTTTTTTTGCTTGAAGTTTAGGGCTGTTCACAATAAAAAAAAACACTATCTGATTTACACTATAAATTAATTGCAATGTACTATTTCTATTATTGTTTTTATCAGTCACCGAATAAACACAGTCAGAGAATTCAATATACATACACACACAAGCAAAACTCACCTGAATTTGAACACTTTGACAATTCACCACATCAATCGATGAAATCAGATGGTCAAAGACCACGCCAGTCTTCTGACAATTATCTAATAGGAAATAACGAGAACAGACACCAGCCCAAAAAAACAAATGATTATTGAACTAATAATAATAATAATAATAATATTCAGACTGACAGTTCCTACGCAATAGTCAGCAAACATTTATACATAACAGTGTATAGATAACCAGGTATATATTGATATATTAATATGAAATACATTTACACCACATGATAATAGTTTTGTTTGTCTAGCAAAAAAGAAAACTCCACAACTGATTCCATCAATCAAAATGAGCATAACATACTTACACGGGATTTTACAAATGAAAATTATTTGCATTATCATTAGATTTTAAGCATGACATGTATATATCGAATGTGTATTGTGAATATTTTTAGATGTAGTTTTTTTTTTCTTGAAACTTTTTTTCTCTCACAATTAATAGAAAAGAGTGACAATCAATTTTAATACATGATAATTTCATATTATTAATTTATTCTCTTCAATAAAAATTATTCATTATATAATTAATCAATGATTTTATTAGACAATAAGATAATAAATGTTTAGATAATAATAATAAGTAAATTTTATTTATTAAAGCATTTTGGTAAATGTCATCAAAAATATAAAACTAATATTAAAATAGTGACTTAATTTGAAATTGTTATTGATATTTTTTGAATGAAATGCAATCAGTTTTGTTTGATATATTGGTAGGCTGTAAAAATATTGTCTCTCATTATGACAAAAGTTGATAATTGGATTAGATGGAATATGGCTAGTAGTGCAATACAGGATGCTCGTTTCATTCTATTTATCAACTGGATGTAACTGCATTCAAAGAGTTGATAGCCACTGTGTGAATCTAATCCATTGCCGTTTGCTTCAAATGTCATCGCCATCGTCATCAACAGTGGGATAATTCAAACAATTTCAAATCGAATTCAATCTCTTACTATGACGCTTGCACGTAAGCACGTCAACTCGATATACTTGAACTATTACGAGTTTATCTTAGTCGTAAACGAGAGCGAGGATCGAGAATCCGGTGACACGACATGCTACTCAAATCCGATTATCCCAACCCCCATATTTAGTAAAAAATAAGAAGACATGATATGAAGTAGAACGTGTATTCTACAAGTATCCAGAAAGTACGAGGTCCGAATCCAGAAGAGAATCAGGATCCCGGACTAGGGATCCGGGACCGAGCCCTGGTCCCGGTCGTGGTCGTAAAACGTTTCAGATAATGCGTATTTATACATTTTAGTCGAATAGGAAACAGCATCGAATTCTGTGACATTGACAGTTAGGACGACCAATAGGAAGCAACATTTGAAGTGACACTGATAGTCAGGACAACCAATAATAAACAACATTGGATTACGTGACATTGATATCTAGGACGACCATAAAATTGACCAGTAGGAATTAATCGATAGGAATAGACCAATAATTCTCTTAGGATATTGGATGAATATCCTAACACACCCGTTGCACAAGTGGATAACTTAACAAACATCACCATCATGGTCAGCAGTGGATTTAGAAAATATACTGTTGATTAATCAGATACACTGTGTGTCAGTTATACACACATTCAAATGATAATGAAGATTTATAGTTATAATGGATATTTTTAATGGTGTTTTATGGTATTTTTTTAACTTAGTGGTTTACTTCTACTTGAAGAATGCCTCTATGTTACCGTATATAGCAGAACAGTGAAAGCTTCACAATCACACTATTTAGCTCAGAGAACATAAGAACCAAAGATGCATAGACATAATCAGCACTTGATTGATACTTTTTCCGATTGAAACAAATCGATTATGAATCATAAATGAATTATTTTCTTAGTAGTAATAATAATAATAAAATTTGAAATTAATCGTTGACTCAGGCGTATCAGTAAATTAATGCACATCGTTTTGTAAAACACAATGACAACACAGGCATGATCATCTTAAATTTTTATATGTAAGTCTCTTTTTACTCACGTACACATAGGAAGAGCCTATTTATTATGCATATCTCTATATAATAGGTATTTTGAATCCATATAGCAGTCACGCAACTGAATTATCAATAATAATAATTAGTTTTACTGCTGTGAGAAAATATTTTATAAGCAGTAATTTGTGTCAACACAAAATTTAGAAGTAAAATTTGAGTTTAGTTGCATATAACTAATGAACCATTAGGAATTTACATCCATGATAAACGTCTCTCTCTTGGTTCTTGTATGAATTTTTTATCATAGCACACACACACAAATATATAAAGTTGCTTATTAAACTTAATTAAAAACACACTGTCAATTGTATAGATTTGTGTACATACCAAGATGATTAAAAAAGAAAGATAAAATTCACGAGGTGAAATAATGACAGCACTAATATTCAACATCTAGAGAAATATGAAAAAAATAAATGTAACTGTTCCACTGTGATTGATTTTGATAGATTCTACCACTAAAAAAATAATTCTTTTGCAGATCTCAAGCCAAAAATCTACTTATCTTCACAGAAATCAAGCTAACAGGCAATAACTCCATGGATTTTTATGTCATATCTTTGCTACGTCTTCAAAAGCTTTCTTCTAATCTATCCTTATGTGAGCGAGTATAGAACAATGGGATAGGTGATGTTTGTGTATAAAACGTAGTAAATAAGTACATGACCATGTGCTTGGATAAGTCATATGTTTTGTGTGAAAGTTTATTATACCTTCTAGTTTCCCGAAACTCTCAAGGCAAAAGGAAAAGAGGAAGGCCAAAGAATACACTACGCCGAGAAATAGAGAAAGATATGAGAGGAATGAACAAACATTGGACAGAACTGGAGAAGGAAGCCCAGGACAGAGTTGGTTGGAGAAAACTGGTGGGCGGCCTATGCTCCATTGGGGGTAACAGGCGTAAGTAAGTTTCCCGAACTGGAGCAAGTGGAAAAGGCTTGCGCCTATCATCCATTGGTTAGAAATTGAATGTTCAAGCGCAGAGTCATGATTTATCTTCATAAATTTCATAAAAAATGGGCAGGAAATCGTTTTGTTGAACTATTTTCATTGAGACAGGTTAGGAATTTTTATTCACAGCATTGATAAGTGATACACTGAGTATCAGACTGGAAGCTGATGTTTGTAAACATTAAATTAATAACTATTGTAATAATAAAGCATGAAAGATGTAATGTGATAGAAATTACTAACTAGCTGGAATGATGGTAGAAATATATTGAAATCATTAATCATTTATAACATTCTAGAAGGAAGTCAATGAAAGGAATGCAAGTAAATAAAAAAAGATGTAAATTTTTTGCAAGACACTAAAAAGAAAATGCATATCACATTCCTAGAATAATCCAATTATTAAAATAAAGGCTTTCCGATACCGGATTTATATATATATATATATATATATATATATATATATAAATCTTGAGTTGATATTGACCTTCATCTAGTAAAATTCAATTTCTTCTGTTTGCAATGTAAAATAAGACACTTTAAAAAGTCTATGCCAATTGTAGTTTAGAGCTTAGCACATTCATTATCGTTTATACACAGTTTATGCATACACACAACATATATTGATTGATCGTCAACAATAATATCGCTTACCCAACATGACTGAATTAATTTTTCCTTTAATTTGAACAGTGCATTCATTACACTTATGAATACAAACTGTTTGTTTTGGTTCAGTGCCAACAATTTGTAAATTTCCAGCAGATTTGAAATTTTCCTAGAAAATGAAAACAATATTGCAAGAAGTATGAAACTTATCGGTAATCCTTTTTCTTTCACAATAAATACAAATTAAATCCATAGTTATAAAGTAAAGTTCAATGCAGTAACTATTCATAATAAGGTAAAAATCTACTCAGTTTCTAGTTTAAAATGATCTAGAGAATTGCTGAAAATCATGAAAGCTCTGTACAAGATTTCCTATAATTTGAAATGTATTACTAGTCACCTGAGTGCAGCTTAATGATAACGATAGCAAAAACATATCATCAATGGTTATAGCGAATTGACTACTTACAGATCATTAGTGGATTCTAACTTACCGTTCATAAAAATATTATGCTTGATAAGGTAAGACTAATTGATCACTATAATCACACCTGAGTTACACATTTAAAAGTTATTCAAAGTATTTATGTAGTTAAGAACAGAACATTGTTATTGCTTTACAGTTTAGTATGCAAATCATCTTCGGTTATATATATAAGTACTTTGGTTACTGGAACTTGAAAAGAATATTTCAAACAAACACGTAGATATACTTTATGTGATTCTTCATTAGTCAGTTATGGGCAATATACAACTTGACAGAAATGTGCATTAAACTAAATTCCCACAACACATCAGAACAGCGACATTTGATTATCATGATGAATACGAAAATAGTACTAGTCACTGGCTTATTGCACTTCAGTCTATCAATCAGTTACTATGTAGAACTTCGTACGTACGTACATCAGATCAAGTTGTCATACCACATTAGCACAGAGACGTCACCGTCAGTTCAAATCTCATAGTGGTGGAGATAGTGAAAGAATAACTGGTAATGGAGAATATTAAGGATCGAAGGTATTATTCAAGCAGTATAGTTCTGTGAGATAAACTTAGAAAAAGAAAGATAGAGATGATAAGGAATTCAGAAGATTAGGATTCAAGAGAACACAAACAATGAATGAACCTATGCCATTGCAAAAGAATTTCGAGCCATGTCATTCAGGGTCTCTAACCATCGGTTACTATCGCCTCGCGGACCCCAACCAGGTAGCCTACATCTACCAACATGACTCAGTTAACTTGTCAGTGACTTTATGGATTTCTGCCGTGTTTTGGTCTGGCCGCCCCTAGCTTTCTTCCAACCTACTCCTAAACCACAAAACATAGCTCGACAGGGCAGTCAGTGGTCGGGCATTCGTAACACATGTCCCAACCACCTCAACTGATAGAGTTTCATTACTTCATCTAATGATTTGCTATCCTAACCTAGTACCCGTATCTTAACGAAAGTATTGATTAATCGGTTGTCCCAGAATGCACGAGAAATGCTTCGGAGACACCGACGATCGGAAACAAGCAACCTACGAATGTCTTCCACTCTTACCGGCCATGTTTCACAGCCATAAAGTAGGACAGAGAGAACCGCTGCGCAGTACACTCGTCCTTTAGTCAGCAAGCGGATATCTCGCCTATGTCGTAAGTGACGCGAAATGGCAAAAGCCAATCGAGCCTTCGTTTACCATGCTGAGATTTCGTCAGTCGCCAGGTCATCAGCACTGATGAAACTCCCGAGATAAGTGAAGCGGTCGACACTCTCGACTACTTCACTCCTTATCACTAGTTCAGGTGCCGATGCAACCCAATCTTGAAGCAAAATTTTGCATTTCGAGGGTGAGAACCGCATGCCGAACATGCTTGCATTGTTGCTTATGGTAGTCAGAAGACTCTGCATTTTGTCAGCGTCTTCACCTAATAGAACTATGTCATCGGCATATTCTAGATCAGTAAGTGTGTCTCCTGGTAGACGGTCCACTCCTGAAAATTCAGACGAAGATAAAGTCAACTCCAAAAGCATGTATACAACAAAATTAAACAGTAATGGAGAAAGTGGACATCCATGACGGACACCATTTGAAGAAATAAATTTCGATGACAGTTCGCCATAAGCTCTAACTCGACTAGTAGTGTCTGAGTAGAGAGCTTGTATAAGGTTAATGTACTTCTTCGGTACACCTTTCAATGACAGAAACTGCCACAGTACCTTACGGATATTTTATGAGACGTTTTCAAAGTGTTGGCTGTGCTCTTTTTAAAAGACCCTACCGCCGGAGACGGAAATCCGTGAGGTAAGGTAAGGTGTGTCATTTTTAGGGTCGACCTTTTCTAACCCTTCCTTCCTTGTGAGAAGGCAGTATCTCTGCAGATGCTGGTTGTCCGAAGGAAACACCTTATTGCTATCACAACCCCCTACGGTCAGCAGTACGGCTTCGCCCTCAGGCCTTAAGTTGCTGTTTCTAGTCTCAGAATATTAGAATTTTAGGGAAAACAGTGATTGTCGCACTTACGAAACATCTTAGTTTAGACGTCACTAGATTTTTTTCAAACCTGCTTTAGCAACAATCGATACTGAGTGTGGTTCTAACACACACAATATTTTACATATTTAAAAAATAGGGAGGTATTCCATAAAACCACATTAAACAGTAAAGGGCCTACTTCGAAAAACCAAATCAATAAACTACTACGCTGTTATCCCTTTATAAAAGTTAAATATTATGGTGGCAGATAGAAATTCGAAACTGATTTCAGCAAATATACAGTAAACAGATGATGAGAGATACACGAAATGCTGTAACAATAAAAAAAGGATAGAAAACTAAACTAAACTAAATTCGGGAATATCACATATATATATATATATATATATATATATATAAATGTTTTCAAGTAAACACTTATATAAAAAGATATAAGATTGACAAAATGTCAAATCATCAAGAAACATTTAGGTGTATACACAACAAATTATTTTCATTCGTCGTCGTATCCACACCACCACCAGCCAATGTGGTGTATACACATTGTAATGTAAAAAAAGAGAAAAACAAATTCGAATGGAACTACTCTATGAAGTAATATCAGTAGGCTAAAAAAAATAAAAATAATCACAAACAACCAACATCAACGTGATTACTTTCTTATATTCCAACAATGCATCCATCATAATATAATAATATAGATTGTCAGAAAATCACCATAAATGGCTAGATACAATAGTTTTGTTAGGTTGGAGATAGTGAATGCGAAATGTGAAATGATTTTATTCATCCAGATACACATACTATATACGCGCATACGCATAGGTATACATGAAAACTTTGATTTTCAATAAATCAATAATTAAAATCAATCAAGAGGGGTAGTTTTTCAACGGGTCCAATGTAAACTTATAATTTAGTCATGACAATTAATTTTATAGCGTATGAAATAAAATTAACCAGGTCATATATTTTCAAAGAAAAAAAATTATCAGTAGATTGATTGGTAGGCTAAATTACATTTATTCAAATTACACCCATGACATTGTCATTTGGATAATAAAAATTCTCATTACGAATTAATTAATTGTTGAAGAATCAATGAGAATTATAAAAACATTGAACAGTTAGCTTTATGTTGTTAGTTAGTTTGTGAATTCTTAACAGTTAATATCTAGAATATTAGAGAATGGGATGAAATCCTGAAAGTGTAAATTCTCATATTGATGATAAAATCAGATTAGAAAAAAATGTCATAACTCAATCGTACACACACACACACGCAAGTGAGACACCATTATTGTTAGAAAATAAGGTGGTGGTTATCAATAATAGCAGCATTCAATAATCATTGAGCTATAATGAGTATATCCTAAGCCATCAAGTGCTCCTTTGATTTTTTTAACGGTTTTTCCATCTAAAGTTAGCTTATAATTGATTAACATGATACAAATTTCTCGTGAACTTTAATCATATTAATAACTTTGAATACAAAAGATTATTAAAATAAACGACAGCAAATAATGTGATACAAATAGTGATCGATGACATGAACACTTAACTCTGGATGAATATTCATAGACAAATGTAAAAGTTGTATTCATTCATAGTACACTAAACATTTCTTACGCTTCCTATCAATAACAAGTTAGATCGAAGTAATCAATAAATATATAACACTTTTTCATTGCGCTATACATAAACAGGAACTTAATCTGTGTTTAGACTCACAGGATAATCGTAATCTATAATTGTAGATTAGAAATTTTTTGACTTCCTAATTATTCTTGAGTTTTAATATTGTCTTAAATCACGATGTTACAGCACAATTGTTATCGAATTAAATAGCCTTTTTTAATCTTGTTCTGACATGGATATTATTGTTTCTTCTTCCATAGTTTCTTGTAATCAATTTCCTCCCACGCTTACTTACTTATACCTGTCGCCCCAATGGAGCATAGGCCGCCCACCAGTTTTCTCCAACCAACTCTGTCCTGGGCTTCCCTTTCTACTTCTGTCCAATGTTTGCTCATTAGTCTCTTGTCTTTCTCTTTGTCTCGACGTAACATGTTCCTTGACCTTCATCGTTTCCATTGATCTTGAGGGTTCCAAGAAAGGGCTTGTCTTGTGACGCAGTTAGGTGCTTTTCGTAGTGTGTGTCCTATTCACTTACATCGCTTCTTCCTGATTTCCTCATCCACTGGAATCTGGTTTGTTCTCTACCACAGTACGTTGTTGCTGATCGTGTCTGGCCAACGAATCCGAAGTATTTTGCGTAGACAATTGTTAATAAACACTTGTATCTTCTGGATGATGGCTTTCGTAGTTCTCCATGTTTCCACTCCATACAGTAGAACTGTCTTGACATTTGTATTGAAAATCCTGATTTCGGTTTTGGTTGAAAGTTGTTTGGAGTTGCAGATATTTTTCAACTGTAGAAATGCAGCCCTTGCTTTGCCAATCCGTGCCTTCACATCCGCATAGGATCCACCTTTCTCGTCGATGATGCTGCCCAGATATGTAAAGGTGTTAACGTCCTCCAAGGCATCTCCATCACGAGTGATTTGGTTGGTGCATGTTGTGTTGCATCGGAGAATTTTGCTCTTTCCTTTATGTATGCTGAGAGCTACTGCTGCAGAGGCTGCTGCTACACTGGTCGTCTTCTCTTGCATTTGCTGTTGCATGTGCGATAAAAGAGCCAGGTCATCTGCGAAGTCCAGATCGTCCAGCTGCGTCCTAGCTGTTCATTGGATACTGTGCTTCCCTCAGATGTTGACGTCTTCACAATCCAGTCGATCACCAGGAGAAAAAGAGAGGGTAAGAGTAAGCAACCTTTCTGACACAGATCTTCACCTCGAACAAGTATGTCAGCTGTCCCCCGTGAACGATTTCGCAGTTTAATCCATCATAAGAACTCCGTATGATGTTGACTATCTTCTCAGGCAACCCGTAGGGTCGAAGACGCCTCCATAGTGTTTTCCTGTCCACACTATTGAATACTTTCGCGTAGTCAATGATGTTGATGTAGAGTGGTGAGTTCCATTCAATTGATTGTTCCACGATAATTCATAATGTTGCAATTTGGTCGGTACACGATCGATCCTTACGAAATCCGGCCTGTTGATCTCGAAGTTGGGCGTATACGAAGTCCTTCATTCTGTTTAACAATACTCTGTTGAAGACTTTGCCTGGTATTGAAAGAAGAGTGATGCCTCTGTAGTTCTCACAATTGCTGAGATCGCCTTTCTTTGGTATTTTGATGAGGTGTCCTTATTTCCATTCTGTTGGCATTTGTTCCTCATCCCAAATCTTCTTGAAGAGAATGTGAAATATTTCTGCAGTTGCTGCCACGTCTGTTTTGAGTGCCTCTGCTGGAATATCGTCTGGTCCTACTGCTTCGCTACTCTTGATTTGTCTGATGGCCATCTGATCTCTTCAATTTTTGGTGGGTCAATATCGAATGAGAGGTTTGTGTACGCTGCATCGATGTTGGGTGGGTTCAGTGGAGCTGGTCGATTCAAGAGTTTTTTAAAGTGCTCTACCCACCTATTCTGCCGCTGTTCAATGTCGTTGATTGCTTTGCCTTCCTTACTTTTCACTAGTCGTTCTGGTTTTCGATGGCTTCCAGTGAGCTTCTTTGTTGTATCGTACAATTGTCTCAAGTTTCCTCTTCTTGCAGCCTTTTCCACCGTCATTGCTAGGTCTTCAAAATATTTTCGTTTGTCGGCTCTGATGCTCTTCTTCACTTTCCTGTTTGCTTTTGCGTATTCAGCTTGTGCCTTGACTTTCTTTGCTCTTGTTGGGCTGACGTCGATTGCTGCCTTCTTGTTCCTCCTTTTTTCAATTTTCTCCAAAAATACCAACAGACATCCGTTCCTTGTGATGGTGCTTCCTGTGGCCCAGAACCTCCTCCCGCTATACTAATAAAGTTGTGGTGAATTAGGACAGTGAACATTTGTTTTAGGTCCAAGGATGCTCATGATAAATGTCTAATTTTCACAAACATAAACCTAGTTTTTATACTTAGTCGAACATTCTGACTCTGACTGGTGTAAGCTTTTCTGGCTCATCTTATTAAATAATCGAAATGAGTATGTAATTCCATATCGTACGGTCTCAACGGTTGGTGTGTTCTACAATACCACACCTTAATAATAAGACTAATCCTATTAAAACAGATTTATGCGCACAACATCTAAAATTTAACATGACATTTCTAACGAATATTACTTACAACTACCCATTTGTTACCCCTTAGTTCCAGGCATCCAAGTCCCGATGGCTGTTTCTCAGATGGTGGTCGAACAGTTGAATTATTAATTGAGTTCATTTGATTCCGTGATGTATGAGTAATAGGTCCTTCACGGAGTTTAGGATTTTTATGTGTTTTCATATCGTCAGTCACCTTGCGCAGATTAGATGTCACAGCTGTTCCACGATTTATATCAGCGAATAAAGCGGATTGTGCTGAATTGTTTGCCTGATAATTATTAATGAAATAGAAAATTATTAATCACAACTAGTACCAAACTAAAAATTTATAAGCATGGAAAAACATTTCAACTAACTGTGAAAAGCATATCAATAACTAACATAGCCAACGATCGTACTAATATGTTTATACATGAAGGAAACTAAACCTTAGAAAATTTATCGTAAGATTACTTGAATTATGTGTCCACATAAATATATATAGTCTAGTCTACAACCACAAAATCAACTAGATATTTGAGTAAAAGAAATAAACGCACAATTTAAAAAAGTCTGGAACCAATGTTAATTGTAAAGAACCGAACAATAGCCCTTCATATACTAACGTGTCTCTTTACCTATTAAATTGCTTAGTCTGGAAAGCGGACGAAATTGTATTCGGGTCCTTTACACAACACTAAATAATCAACTTAGAATACAACCAATGTCGTAAGTATACACTCAATGTTTGATATTTCTACAGGGTCACATAAACAATACAAATATTTGCACTATTTATATAGTTATTACTAGAACGTTTGTTATTCAATACTGATAGGCAAGCTTTATATACACGAGCTAAATGAATGAGAAGGAAGCTCTTATTTGTTGATCTAATCGGTATGTATGTATACTTAGAAAATTAACCCACCAATGATCTGCCTCATTTGGTAAGTTCGTTAAAAGTAATTTCATTCGAACACCTACTTCAAATACACTGAACGGAATATATTTAACCCAATTTGACCGATTCTATCCTAAACAAGTCACATTCCCATTAAATTTATATCAATGTATTTTAATGATGATGATAATATAAACTTTGCAAATCACCGGTGTTCGACTAAGAACTGAACTAATCAAAATATAATTAAATGTCGATACAAGTTCTGGATACTATTTAATGTGTAGGATTTTTTTTCCAATAAAGATGGTTTCAAAATGAAATGAATGCCATGTTTTACGAATCGATAATCGATACATATACGTGAGTGACATTTTGATCATATATGGAATGTGAAATTACAGAGCTTGATGATCGATTAAATGCAGAGTTACAATTGTGCTATACAGATCAACAACAATATTAGTATACCATAGAAGAAAAGATACGAGTAGCAGTATCTAACTCTATAGTCCAAAAGTATGAATCGATGGACAACGGAATTCTCGATGAGAGTTATGAATGCTTACAATGCAAAGATCCTAAAATTCATTGGACAAAGAAGATGGACTGAATTCATTCTCTTAGATAAATACATGTTCATAAAACAAAAAATATTATACTCATACACACACACACGCACCAATGATATTGCAGCTAACTGAGCCTCTGTAAGCTCAGGGGGAGGAGGAGGTGGTGGTGGTGGTGGTGCTGCTGCTGCTGGGGAACAATTGGAATTGACTTCACGAATAGGTGAAGATTTGGACAGCTTCGATTCTGAAACTGGTTTGCCACGAGCATTCCAAACCAAACCAGTGGTGTAATGATTTGTAACATAGGTTTGTAGTGCAGTGCAAACTGATATTAAAGATTTTGCCCAACTAAGATGAATTGTGTCTCTACAATAAATAGCACAGGAAATTATTTATGATTATGTTTCATTAAAAAGAGATGGAGGAAATTACTACTTTAAGTGATCAACCTACAACAACAACATCTTTATTTAAACCCAGATGAAGTGTCTTTAAAAAATTTATGAAATCCTTTGAACATTTAAGTTTCAATTCGATGAATGCAAGCTTTTGTAGACATCTAATTTCTCGTAATACGTGGTTATTGTACTTTCATATCAGCGAACAACAAAATTCCACACGATAATAATACTACGGTCCCACTAATGTTTAAAAATCTAAAATCCTTAAATTAACCTGCAAAAACAGAGTTTATCGATTTTTCAGATAAAGAAGGTCCTTTAATGGGTTTTTTAAGGAGCTATACAGTTATGTAGTGTAGTAATAGTTCTAACATGATAAATTGGTTTCAGTAAATGTTGGAAAGACAAGAGAAGAAACTTCAGTTTATCAAGTTTTCTTCGCATACGAAATTACAACCCAATGATGACAAGATAAGGGGTTCTATAGGCTTGGGGTTTTTGTAAAAACATATTCATACAATTATGCTCAATTTATTCTGTCACTATATATAATCGCTTTTACTCTTGAAACCTCGAACTTTACTAACAGGCTGACGACTGATCAGTTATTCTAAGCTCCCTTTGGTATTAACAACTATGTTAAATATGCAAAACATCTTGAATGATATATGTAAAGTAAATTCGATATACTGAAGCCACTATTGACATAGGTAAAAAGTGATAGAATTACTTTACTTTAATTAGTTACGAGTTAAAAATAATCAATGTGTAAACACTGCAAGGATGAATAGACTCACTGATACCTCGACCTAAATTATAAGAAAAAAAACCAGCAAGCTATCCCATCAATCTCGTAAACAAAATAAGATAAGATTTAACGAATGAGATTCATATCAAGTTGATTATTTGTTGAGAGAAACAATGCATGTCATAATCAATACTAGAGCATGTTCATTAAATTTAATCAGTCGGTTGATTATAGTATTGTACTGGAAATACATAAGAAATCAGTCACACGGTGAATTTCAACTACTGGGACCGTGAATTCACTGTACTAAAAGTTATCAAATAATATTCATGAAATATAATGAAGAAAATCCCAGTAATCATTAACACTATGATTGTGAAGAGTAGCAAATCTTACCCTTGATGATGTTGGAAAAATGGGTTAATTTTATCTCAAAAAGATGTTTGTTAACAAAAGCCTTTTCAATTATAAATTATAATTACTCATGTTTGATAACCAGAATAACACTCAGTCTCCCTCACTGATATTGAAATAATCAGCATACAATAGCTTCCTTATCAGGTAGCATTGAAAATTCTACAGAAAATATTGTCTTTCGAAACAATCAGAATGATATATATATATATATATATATATATATATATATATATACAACTTTACACTACAGAAAATAGTGAGTCTACCAATAAGATGATCAATAAATAACTAACTTTTCTTTGTATTCCTTAATCACACGATTTGTAAAGAATTCAGTAGCTTCTTGTTTAGATTTAATGTACGGTGCTGGTGCAGGAGTCTAAATAGTTTAAAAGTTAGAAAACGAAACTTACAACACTTAACCAGCCTAAAGCTGTAACAAACTCAGCCACAGCTGAAAGATGGTTAAAAAGGTTACTGCTTCGATTAGCATCCTTAAATTTCTATAGAGGAAAACTATTGAACGAAGTAAGGACAAATTACAATAACTTCATCTATTGCTTTTCCCAATGGTGTTATAATACTTAACAGTTCAGATTCAGAAGGTTTTGAGCACTCAGTGGCCAATTTGATTATTTTTTCTTGAATCGAAAAACATTCTTCAACCATGGAGGCCTGTTAAAAAAATACCGAGGGGTTGGTTACATATAACACCAAACTTACATGGGTTTTGACAACATTTCCAATCTTGGAACTATTGGTTACATATTCCGATAAAGAACGAGTGATAATTTCATGAAATTCCTTAACTGATGAAGGATTTCCACTTTCTTAAAATACGGAAACAATTATGAAAATCTTACTTACCTGGAGATATTTTGATTGGTGATGTCCGATACATATTGTTAATAGCGGCTGCTTCAAGAAGAATAGTTATTTTTTCTAATCTACAAAGTAGAGAGTCAAGTTTTTCCATGCCTATAAGTAAACCAAGACAATTTACATAAATAAAGCAGGATGTATAACAGCTACTTTGAAACTGCGATTTGCAAAAGGAAATGATAGCACAGTGCAGCTATATTACTAACTCCAAAGAAATACTTTTACCAACACAGCAAACACATTCACTTACGAACGCAAAAATAACAATCTCTAGCGAAAATAGCATGAAAGAGGATCAGTGAGAATCACGCAAAATAGAGCATGTGATAGATTGTAATCAAAAATAAACCCGAAGACGTGTGCATAAATCAACTTCATTTATCATAAAACGTGGAAAATACTTGTGTTGGTTAGACAGGAGAACATTAAGGAAACTTTTTTCACACTGTGATGTACCTGAGAAGATAGCCAACAACATGCGGAATTATCACCATGGACTACACCGCAAAATTATGCATGGAGGGCAGATCACAGATTCATTCCAAGTGAAGAGCAGTGTCAGGCAAGATTTTTCACTCTCATCCCTTCTTCCTATCTTGATGCCCTCGCATGGAATACTCAAGATAAGAGGCGCAGTGGAAGACCGAGGAACACAATCAACCAAGAATCGTGAACAGGCAACAAAATTATTAACTGCAATTGTTAACAAACCGATTGGAGTTCATGGGACAAAGTAAGTTAGTAGCTTGTGCCAAAAGACTGGAAAAAAGTGTAAGCAGTGAGGTAACACGGTTTATGAGGTTGTCTGTGATCTCACTGATTGATTTCGAAATGACCAAGCTCTCACAAAAACTGGAGGTTTGATGACCAATATAACTTCGGAAGACATTAAGCTACCTTACGGTTGTATTCTAGTGTACGTGATGTACGTATCTAACAGATGTAAAAGACCATCCAGGGGTTATTTTTTATAACTGTTGTTCTTTTTGAAAATTTCTTTACCCCGGTAAATTTGTGGTTGAAATGGACCAACAAAGCATCAGTAGACTGTCAAGAAGCCGAAGAGTATCCTGAGTCACATCTCTTTGCAATTTCTGGAACGTCGGTCGGGCATAGGGTGGTGATGTTACACCGCTAGCTCAGTACTGGTTGATTTCCACGACGTCTTCATTTTGTAGGAAAACCTGTACATGCACGTGTTTTATCGGTACATTTTGACCCTAAATAGAATAAAGATTTCTTGTATTTCTTCCGGCCTTTAATACACGTCCTCAAATGCGGTTCTACTTTTCCTAACGTCAGGGTTTGTATCGGGCATTAGCTTTTCTAGTAGCAGAACTAGCATTTGCGGATATATTTTACTCCCTATTACGATAAAGAAACTCATCTTCACTGAGCACGTTGTCAAAATAAGAGGCAAGATCGATCATGAGGTTCACATAATTCTCTTTGTATTGAGATACTTATTCGACTGGACTCAATGCCATTTCCCGGCTTTATTTGGTCTTCGACATGACTTTCTGCCCAAACCTGTACATGTGGACAACTGAGTGCATATCTCTAATAAATTGTTAAAGCATTGATAAAGACGACATAAAGACTACGAGAAATTTTATAGAAGTTAAGTGTTACAAGTGATGCATAACTGTCGATCGACTGCTATTGTGAGTACAATTACTTTCACTGAGTTTTGAAAATACCTGTTTTAAGGAAATTCTAATTTCGTTTGTCCATAAATTACAACCTGGATATATAATTTTGACATAGTTTTGGTCAAAAACAGTTACTATTATTATTTACGTTTCGAAAGCATTTACCTCATTCCATGGAGTAACTAAACATGATAAGACGTAATGTCACCAGTTATTCTAAGCCTAGGAACGCTGTAGGAGAGCTTATATTTTGACATCACACTAGAACCCCGAGATAAATCAAAATATGAGTGGCGAAGCTGACATACTGACGAGGAATACATGTAGAATTTAGTGGAATCCCGAAAGGTGGTAATGTCTCTATTCTGTAAAAGGCTGATAGGACAAAATAGACAAAAAATATACAGGATGAAACGACACACCACTACACTATTTCAACTAATTATAAGGAGCCAACGAAACATTTCTATCATGTCAAAATAATAAAAAGTAACAGAATATAAAGAAAACACCAGAAATATCTTTATACTGAAAAACACTGACGGCACACTTTACCGTTTTCAAAACGCTCAGTGACATTCTTCATGCATTTTTCACAGCAAAAATACATCACTTACACCAAAGGCTTCAGGCCTTCGTAACGCAATTACCGTACACCGCGGGCCAGAATCTAGAATAACAGAATCCAATTGCAAGATACAATTTCCTCTCAGAATTCCACTATCTTTTTGACATGCTAATCAAAGACAGTTGCCTTCTTCGCGCTTGTTTCTTGCTGTTTCCGTTAGATTCCAGGATTTAGTTATGTTCAATGGATGATTAGGTGCACTTATCTCAGTTAGTGCGGTTCCAGGGTATTGAAGACTGTTCAAGAGGACAGAAGTGTAAGCGAATAAGTGGAAAGAGAGATTATTGGGGAGATAAAGTAAGCTGGCGATCTAAGGAAATTACATTGGTAACTGCGAGCAAGTTTCAAGAAACGCATCAAGCACATCTGGTCGAAGCGAAAAATGATAATCCATGTATGAGTACGTGTTTATGAGATCTCTTCTTGAAACTGTCGCCACTCCAAACGAGGATCAGCGGTTGCGTACGTGAGCGTTTGATCTTTGACGTACGATTATTCGACGGTTACCTTGAGGGGAGTGATGGTGATTTTTGGGAGAGATGCGGATGTTGGGACGATTCTGCATACTATATATCTTGCACGCCATTTTCATATCACCTATGATTCTCCTAAAAATGAACCAAAACAGTCACATATGTTTGAGGCTGTCTTCATAAGTTTGATTTTTTTAACCCTTTTACTCATTTAGTTGTTCCTCTGTCTTCAGTTCCGCAGATTCATTTCCCACACAAGGAGACGAGGTGCAGTGACATAAGGAATTTCAAGGTGTTACCATACGTATACTTTGAAGAGAGCAAACAACAATTTGGATGACTGAACATAGTTACGCTTACACAGAGTGGGGAAATGCCACAGCCTTAAATGTATCCCAAGTAAGGCTCCAGCATGCTTTCAAGCACCGTGTTATTATTAGCCAGTTTCCAGCAAACAATCAAAGATAAATTAATATGGAATACATGTGTTGTTTATGATATATTGAGTAAAATTATCGTCATCGTTCATCTCGAATGGTTAGGTTTTAACCATGTGGTCCCATACCTATCCCTTGATTCTTGTAAGATGACTTTGAAGCTCTAATAAAATCTATTCACTTGCTATGGACCTCTGAATTTTGTTTGCTAAGTAAAGATCTAGATGTGAGAAAGGAACAGAAGTACTCAGAATATTAATAAGTTGATGATATATGCCGTTCTGAGTACATTAGTCTTGCTTTTAAGGACTACAATTGTGTTGTTAGAACCCGGAAAGAAGCCCAAGGACATGGCTACTCATTAAAAGAATGATGTTATAGGTCATTTACCGTGCTCGTAGAAGTCAAATGCACAATTGAGTGAAAGCTTGGTGATTATTGATCGCCCTCGTGGAGATTAAGAATAAATCAAAGAACCAATTTTGTACCTCTACTTTTTGAAGTGAACGAAAAGTAAAATATAAAAGCGCTTTATATGGTAATGAATCAAAATGCCAAAGGCTAGGCAGAATTTTCTTTTCTTATATTGGCTAATTTACAGTCAACAGTTGAAAGTGCGGTAATAAAAAGATTTTTCTCCAGTAACACTGTTACGCGAGGCATATCGTTTTACAAATGAGATCAATCTTTTTCGAATAATAATGACATTACCAACGATGATAATAATTCTTTCTCAAATAACAATATGTCACACGTGGCATGCAGATTGACAGAAAAGATCAATATGTTAAAAATGTAAACAATGTAAAACGTTGTTCACTTACACAGATATATCACATAGTACACTGGCTTGTTATAGACGGCTAAGATTCCTCACATGTTTCTGACCCTGGAATGAAAAATACAATAGTTTCCGCGAGTTATGTCATTTACATTTTGACCAAAATCTGCTGGTTGGGCATCGATTCAAGGTAAATCGAGGTCTATATATAACAAGAATTGATGAGGTAAATGTGTAATTACACTCTTGTTGAGATTCGATAGATAATAATTTGACAGGCTCCTGGGTAAAGTACTCAAGTCTTTGGCAATATCAAGGCTAATATTTAAGAAGTAGAATGGGCGCTGAAAAGTGAAGTGAGGAGAAAAGAGCGAGGAGCAGGACAGAAAATCTTCATATTTAAAGCTGAGTCATGACCCAGCAGATAATATTTTCAGATAAAACAAAGGTATTATCACTCAGACCTTTTGTTTTCCGTATTAGAACACTAACTGTACACCTGCACTTATGTAGGCTAATGAAGACAGGTCACTAGTAGGATAGCGAAAGGGTAAATAATCTTAGAAGTGCAGGAGGTTAAAAAGAATTAAATTGTTGGAAGTTGTTTTTCTACAGAATATAATAAGGAAGGCATAGAGAGTTCATGATTTGGTTATATTTCATTCAATTTTTAACGCTGTAATTCAAGAAGTTACGAGTGAGCTCTTTCCCAACATGGTTGTCAAGATCAGCTTCTAACGAGATTCCTCGGTGGGAAGTGAAACCAGCTCGAGGTTACTAGCATGAGTAATAGATGTGGTTGTTTCGGAAAATTTACATCAATATCATCGATTAGTTACATCCTGCTATATCGTAAGGATCCGTAAGCAAACAAATTGTCAACAACAAACAATAAATTCCCTTTGTAAAATATTTAAGTTGTTTAGACAACCTACAGTTTTTACATCATTTACATCTATAATCTTGACCAAGTTTAACTGTAGAGAGGTTTGGTGATAGTAGACGTTGTTAAAATCGAAGCGTAACACCGATACCGTAATTGGTTTTGGAAATTCACGAGTAATGCGATAAATAGTTTAGAGTACAATGTCTTTGAATGGTGATAAATAGGGGAAATGAAAAT